AGACGAGAAGAGCTGCCATCGTGGTAAGCAAATTCCATTAGTGGCTTGATGTACATACTAAATCGGTAAACTGTATCAGTGTATGCTGCAGTCAGTTTCCACGGCACTGCAAGAACTACATACAAACGTGTTGTGCTCCACACTGCTTGATCCCCTGTGGCCGGGTGCATGTGCATCATGAGTAGAGTGTCAAACCCAGCGGACTTTATTATACATGCACCGTGTGAGGGTATGATGTGCCTGACCATGGGCTCCAACGTGCTGCCGGCACAGTACACAGTACACTGAGGAGATGATCATCCTCCCCACCTCACAATCACGCTACAGTGGACGGGTTCGCAGTGCAATAGGTACTCCAGTGGTATTCTAAATCACAACGATAACATTCAGAACTCTGTAGCTTACTCCTTCTCTTCGCTTACCGAAAATAGGATTTGAATGGCAGCCTGTATTGTTTCTACCCACTGTTGATAGGCAGAAAAGAAGACAGAAAGACAAAGATCACTTGTATCAGCGAGGGGATGAACAATGTATGGAAGAGGATAAGACTCCCAACACCTGGCATGCTGAAATGTGTGTTCCCTCGTTCCCACACCCTTCATTCCATGCCACGTGCTCTCACCACACTGCGTTTGGTAAGCATAGTCGCTGAACCCTAATGGCTGCCCTTCTGGTTCAAACAGAACTTGAACCTTGTTATACTAGTGGCTAGTTGTTCTTGCAGTTACTTCTCAATAATGCATGATCACATGATCACATGATCACAGGCTTCAGTCTGTCAGCCTGCCAATACAGTACAAGTAGCACAGACAGTGATACTTGAACACTCTACGCTAGCAAATCAGTCTGCCTTGTTGAAGCAAGTAGGATTCAACCAATGATGTATCTGCAATTCTGATTCCAGGAGTGCATGTGTCCGACTGAAGTTTTGCAATAGCGAAGTCCAGTATGTGTACCAGGAAGTATGGCGAGAGCACCCTGTCTCGAGAGAGCGTCCCACCTCGAGGTTACAGCCGGGAAAAGGAAAATTGTACGGGTGTCTTCAACAAGCATAAAAGTATCGGACTTGTGACGCCATGACCATGCATTCTCTATTGGACATATTATTATTGGACACACAAACTATCGCTACACCAGATTACATTCTACATGATACTTGCAAGAGCCTTTGTCTTTGCCATCAAACTTCAAGCATACGACTTCTCGACAAGTCTTCACCAGACGTTACAAAAGGCAACAACCAAAAAAGGTCACACATGCTCCAGAAGAGCAAACTGCGACCAAAAAAGGATCAAATCGCAAAGTATGCGATTCAGTTACACAATAATAAAGTGAACATAAATTACCAGAATCTGAGGATACTACATATGAACTAACGCTGAGATCAAGAATTAACAGAATCTATCCTGAGTCTTATAAATACTACTCGCATGTTCGCGACAATGGCTGAGAGTGCAACTGAGTTTGTACTATGAGAAAAACTTAGTGTACTAAGGTCACACTTAGCGCGTTCTTGCGTGAAACTCGCATCTGCTCAAAGGTAAACTGAGGACAGATTGCACAACATACACTATGTATACAAGGTCGTGTCATATGACCTACAGACAGAACACCACCTCCAAAACACGACCATAAAGAAGAGGTGGTGGGGTGCTCTCATGGTACTTTCAGGGCCCACCACGGCCATACAAAATTCAAAAAGTGTCGACTACCATTTTGAAAAAATGGCGACGCCGCGGAGGCCAGAGTTTGCGCAGTCATAGCGGCTACGCACCCGAGTTCATGCCGATCGATGCACAGCGATGTACAGTCTAGTCATAAAATACCGGTATTTAACGACTCCCTGGTCTAGTCTGTACAGCGAAGGGCTAGTGCCCAAGCGAATCTTGTTGTTTGATGCTGGGAAAGACACATGGAGAAGATGTCCTTTCTCCAAGTCATCTTGGTCATTTTTCTCAATCCGCTGGTGGGTGTCGACCAAGATACGCCCGTGACGTGCTGCTGAACTGGAGTCCTGGCATCTACAAGAATTTCCCGCGCCTAGCTAACCAATGCTGTTAGTAGAACTCAGCGATCCCTGATCGCGACTCGGCACACTCCTTTCTGTTTGGCCTCGCAGCTCTCACGCTGCGAGTGGGGAGTTTCCTGGGCACAAATGAATCCCTTAGTCATGACCATGATGAGAGGTGACTGGTATGATCCCTGACTGGCCTGAGTCCTTAGCTTGAGTCAACACGAAGGTAAACTCTTCACTTGGAACGCTTGCTGTGTCCTCCGTTCATTCTTGTTGCACTTGCAGGTATGCGCACGGCTGCCAAGTTTCGTTGGTGCGCACAGGAACGCACGGCCGACCTTGATATCTTCAAAAAGTAAAACAGCGCCAATAGCTCATTTTCAAGGTCTTGAAATTCTCTATTGGTTTACCGTCCCCGATTTCTAGTTTTCTCTTCATTCACTTGTTCGCATGTCTTCGAGTTTGAGTGATTTCACCATCCGATCTCAGCCAAATGAAGGCCAAATCGAAAAATTCGAGACGGTAACCCTCCAAAGACACACCTTCTGAACACGAATCCACAATGGCCTAATGTCTAAAACCAACGAATAAAGCCAAGTTAAGCTCAGAAAACACCCCACAATTGCAAGAAACAGCCTGTTTTGCCGTGCGCTGATTGGTCAAATCCAAATGACCGTTATTGATGCTTTGTACAGTTGTGGCGAGCCCTGACTTTACAGCACATGTACTGCTGATAAATCCCAGCTATCAGAATACTCAGCCTCACGGATGGAGCATATAATCTGGTTCGGTCCCTTCCCACTGAGATTAGCATACATGTATACTGAACTGTACCCACTATACTGAACTGTACCCACTATACTGAACTGTACCCACTATACTGAACTGTACCCACTATACTGAACTGTACCCACTATACTGAACTGTACCCACTATACTGAACTGTACCCACTATACTGAACTGTACCCACTATACTGAACTGTACCCACTACACTGAACTGTGCCCACTATACTGAACTGTACCCACTATACTGAACTGTGCCCACTATACTGAACTGTGCCCACTATACTGAACTGTACCCACTATACTGAACTGTACCCACTATACTGAACTGTACCCACTATACTGAACTGTACCCACTATACTGAACTGGACCCACTATACTGAACTGTGCCCACTATACTGAACTGTACCCACTATACTGAACTGTACCCACTATACTGAACTGTGCCCACTATACTGAACTGTACCCACTATACTGAACTGTACCCACTATACTGAACTGTACCCACTATACTGAACTGTACCCATTATACTGAACTGTACCCACTATACTGAACTGTACCCACTATACTGAACTGTACCCACTATACTGAACTGTACCCACTATACTGAACTGTGCCCACTATACTGAACTGTACCCACTATACTGAACTGTACCCACTATACTGAACTGTGCCCACTATACTGAACTGTACCCACTATACTGAACTGTACCCACTATACTGAACTGTACCCACTATACTGAACTGTACCCACTATACTGAACTGTGCCCACTATACTGAACTGTACCCACTATACTGAACTGTACCCACTATACTGAACTGTACCCACTATACTGAACTGTACCCACTATACTGAACTGTACCCACTATACTGAACTGTACCCACTATACTGAACTGTACCCACTATACTGAACTGTGCCCACTATACTGAACTGTACCCACTATACTGAACTGTACCCACTATACTGAACTGTACCCACTATACTGAACTGTACCCACTATACTGAACTGTACCCACTATTCATCCCCGCTCTCTTAGGTGGCAGGACCGTCAACGATGATGAGCGACAGCTTCTGGCTCTGCCCTGTCGACATGGTGGTCTGGGGCTCATCACACCTGCCTCCCTCGGGGCCCAGTACGCCCACTCCAAGACCATCGTTGGCCCCCTGGTGCGGCGCATTAAGCAGCAGACTGCCACGCTTGGCGATGCCCTGCAGGAAGTGCGGAAGAACAAGCAGCTGTTGAGGGCGAAGGCAAAGACATCACTCCAAGCCGAGGCCGTCGCTCTGCATTCTGCCGCACCTCCAGAGGTTCAACGTACCATCGACCTTGCTTCGGAGCGGGGGGCATCCAGCTGGCTCACCTGCCGGCCTCTAAAGGCCCACGGCTTCACCCTCACGAAGGCTGAGTTCCGCGAGGCTGTGCACCTCCGGTATGGCTGGCACCCAGTACGACTGCCAACATCATGTTCCTGTGGACAGCAGTTCACCGTCAGCCATGCCCTCTCCTGCCCGTTAGGCGGTTTCCCAACCCTCCGCCACAACGAGGTACGCGACGTGACAGCCCGCCTTGCGAAGCGTGTTGGCCACCAGGTGGCTATTGAGCCACATTTGCAGCCACTCACTGGAGAGCAGCTCCGGTACCGTACTGCTGTGGGCGACGACCAAGCCCGCCTTGACGTGGTGGCTAGTGGTATTTGGGGAGGGCGGTTCGAGCGCACCTACATTGATGTCCGGGTGTTTAACCCTTTTGCGTCCTCGAATCGCCTCAACTCACTTGCTGCTAGCTACACCCGTCACGAAAAAGCCAAGCGCCGTGCCTATGAGCAGAGAATCCGAGAAGTGGAACACTCCAGCTTTGTTCCCGCCGTGTTCTCCACTACGGGAGGCATGGGGAAATCTGCCACCTCTCTGTACAAGAGGATAGCGTCCCTCATCGCCGACAAGACCGGAGAGGCCTACAGTGCCGTGATGGCTTCGATCCGGTGTCAAATCAGCTTTGCCTTGGTCCGATCCAGTGTGATGTGCCTGAGGGGTGCTAGGCGGCTCTATGCACCGGTCTTTGCCGCGGACTCAGCTGGTCTTGTTGTTGCCGAGGCGGCTATCCCCTGTTGAGGTTGATGGCCGTGCTCATTTATACCATCTTCTCATAATTTCTGCTTTTCGTGTCATTCTTGCTTCTTGTGTTTGTTTGTTCTCCTCTAGTTCTCTTATGTTCGCGGAGAAGGCGGAGAGCCGGAACACAGAACCTCTTATTTTTAATTTTTTTTAATTACTTACTTTTTTTACCAGGCGTGGGCCGATCCCCTGATCATAGGTGCCAAACATTTTTAGTATAATTACTCAATCAACTACTAGTTTTTGGTCAAGAATTTTTTTTTTTAACTTGGAAAAAAACTATACTGAACTGTACCCACTATACTGAACTGTACCCACTATACTGAACTGTACCCACTATACTGAACTGTACCCACTATACTGAACTGTACCCACTATACTGAACTGTACCCACTATACTGAACTGTACCCACTATACTGAACTGTACCCACTATACTGAACTGTACCCACTATACTGAACTGTACCCACTATACTGAACTGTACCCACTATACTGAACTGTACCCACTATACTGAACTGTACCCACTATACTGAACTGTACCCACTATACTGAACTGTACCCACTATACTGAACTGTACCCACTATACTGAACTGTACCCACTATACTGAACTGTACCCACTATACTGAACTGTACCCACTATACTGAACTGTACCCACTATACTGAACTGTGCCCACTATACTGAACTGTACCCACTATACTGAACTACATGTATACCTACTACTGTAAATATACAAAATTTCGGCACTTCACGATTTTTGACATTTCGGCGGCGATTTATTTTCGGCGTGGGGTAGAGGGCATGGTATAGTGCGACAGATGCTGTGAAAAATTTCATCGGCGTTTTAATTTAGGCGTTTTGGGTCGGTGCCAAATATAGCCGAAATTAAATAGCTGCCGAAAATTTGTATATTTACAGTATACTGAACTATTTGTGTAGCATGGCCATTCATGTACGGTCACACCTGTGCAAAGCGACCACTACTGGACGACATGGGTAACCGGCATTTCAAAAATAGGCGGCCTTTCAGAATAGACTCGGATAGAGAGCCAAGGATAGATTTACAGCAAAGAAAACAGGACCAAGGAGCATGAGCATGCTTGAGCATGATTGTTTCGTAGCTATTGGTGTTGTTAGTGAATATTATAGCGTAACTTGTAGTTCCTTGGTCCTTTTTCTTTCCTTTCAAAATAGGTCTGGATTTTAGGTGCAGAGTCTGGGGTGTGGTGTGACAGGTGGTCTCTAGAGATAGGTGGTCTCTAGAGATAGGTGGTATCACATTGCAGTGCTCACTTGACATGGGTCTTAATGTACTTTCAGTACCTTACTTGCAGCCTGTGATGGGTGTTAGTTAACTTAAGAATAAGAGATAAAGCATTCATGTACACACGCATTGCATGCACTACAGGTGTTCAGCTTACCTCATAGGATAGCAGGCAGTTTATGGTGTAGATGTATTCAGTCACATCTGGCTCTCCAGTAGCATAGCGCACTGTTGTTGTATTGATCACATTCTCACAGTTGATACCTTCATCTTTCCACCAGGAACTGTGTCCTGAATCCATGTTCAGAAGGTAATTGTCCTGAAGGCGGCAAAACAGTCATAATGAAGTCAAGCAAGTAGGCAATTCAGGTGGTGCATATGCTGAAGTAGCAGATGCTCTATTAGTAGGACCTTAGATTGCAGGGGCGTAGCCAGGATCATGGTCAAGGGGGGTGCCCATAATTTTCTTCCAAAAACGTTCTTTTGAGGAGTCTTGTATATATGCATATTGTATAATGCATGCTAGTGCGGTGTACACCTTGAATTTTATGTATTATGAATGTATCCAGCTTCCCATTCCAACAATCTATATAATTACACATTTGCATTGCATTTTCAACTGTTCTCTATGTAGCGTCATGATGTGAATAGAGCGAAAACATTCAATAAAAAGTTGGGCCTCTTCTGTGTGACAGCTAGTGTACTGTATACTATGCTATTATTAAAGTGATAGTTTGGGAGTAGGCATCCGATACTAATGATGTATTTAGAGCAAGCAAAACTAATAGTATGCAGGTGACTGGTGACTGGAAATCAAGGCAGGACCTACAGTTCAAGCTGAATCTGTTTGATCATACCACTGTCAGGGGCGTCGGGAGGTATTTTAGTGTGGTACGGTCAGCCATCTGAAGTACAATTCACTGATGGGGGATTGCTGAGCCGAAAATTTTGGAAATTTAGAGCCCAAATCTGTGCATTTTATTGATTCACGGGGTACTTGGGGCAAATAGTGGTACGGTCAATACCGTAGTGACCGTACCGTGTGCGACGCCCCTGACAATGCATGCCAAGCCAGACCCATGGTCGAAATTTTTGAGGAGGGTGCTTTGGCACCCAAAGCACCCCCCCCCCCCCTGCCTACGCGCCTGGATTGGGTCACTGAACGATATGGCAGCATACAATTTCGGTCGTTACATGCAGTGTGGACATGTGTATGTGCCCATGTGTTCACTGACCTGTACATACACAAGCCAGTGTGCATGTACAGGCCAGTGAACACATGGGCAGTTACACGTGGGCAGTTACACGTGGGCAGTTACACGTGGGCAGTTACACGTGGATCAGTGGACGCTGAAGCTCTCCCCAACCTACTGTTGGTCTAAATGCCACCAGGAATGATGTGTGCGATGATCACTGATATGATCCAATTCCCAAACATTTCCAATATACTCTCTCTCTCTCTCTGTCTCTCTCTCTCTCTGTCTCTGTCTCTGCCTCTGTCTCTCTCTCTCTGTCTCTCTCTCTCTCTCTCTCTCTCTCTCTCTCAGCCGGTTTTCTTAGGAATGACGTGTGCGATGATCACTGATATGATCCAATTCCCAAACATTTCCAATATACTCTCTCTCTCTCTCTGTCTCTCTCTCTCTCTGTCTCTGTCTCTGTCTCTGCCTCTGTCTCTCTCTCTCTGTCTCTGTCTCTCTCTCTCTCTCTCTCTCTCTCTCTCTCTCTCTCTCTCTCTCTCAGCCGGTTTTCTTCCATGACTTATGCATGAACTGATGTTGCATACCTATTGCTCAGGATCATTGAATAGATTAGTGCGGTTGTGAGGAACAATGCATATGGCAGGGAGCTGCTCGTACTCACAGAAGGATTGCTGTTGTTTGTGATCAGGAGAACACGGTGGTAGATCAGTATGATGATGATGTTAATCCCAATCCACAGGGCATACCAGATACAAGTCTGCAGTTGACACATTTTTAGAAAACAAAACCCTTTCCCTCGTTGTTCAAAACAAGGCCAGCTACACCATACCGAGGAGGAGCTGCAAAAGCACACCTGAGCACACACTAAAGTTAGCTACCCGATAACTTGTTATTGCAACACATCATGAGAAACGGCAAACTTTCCAGCGCACTACGCCACCCTAAGCATCATGATTCTAGCCTTATTATCTGCAGGGGCATAGGAGAGGGGCTTGGGAACTGGTACGACCAAAGGAGGGAACGGGCTGTGAATCAGGGTCCGGCCATCCTGCGGGAAAATTTTGTAAAAAAAAACAAAAAACAAAACCCTGTGTTCTGGGTACTTTTGGCACATTTTTTACTGATTTTTAGTCATAGAATTTGATGGTTCACTTGGCGAAAGCTAAGTTGCTGCGAACCAAGTGCACCTACCAGCCGTGTCGAGTCGAGTATGAGTCAAACTCAAACTGCAAACAAAAGTCAAAGATCTGATGGGCCCCCATTTTTTTATTACGGTTTTGGACGTTCCAGACAGATCACACTTTTCGAAAAGTGGTATGGCCATGGTCGTACCAATCGTAGCGGGTGCTACGACCCTGATCTGTATGAGTTCTGCTCACAAAGTGTTCATAAATGGGACAAAATTCCTTCTCGGAATTGAGATTTGGAGTAGAAACTGGAAAGAGATGAAAGCCGGGGGACAATTGGATATGAGTTACGAGGAACTGCCCATCACTCCAACTGTGTAATATACACAGAAATGGTAACAAGTTCTTCTTTGGACCAGACAAGACCACGCCACGCTTGCAAACATTTCACCAGCAACAATCCACAGCAGCAAGCAGTTACTCCTGACAAGCTTGCTTCTTTCCATAAGATCACAGGAACTCACCGGAAGAGATGCAGCTGTTGAATGGTAAGGATGAACTAGAGAATATTATGCTATATTGTACACAAGATACTGGAGAGCGGATGTGTATCCACTTGACTAACTCACACAGGTGACAGCCTAACACAAATGGATTAGTGTTGAATGGAGGTGTTAAGAAGCCCACCAGACACAACTAAAATACAGGTTAAGCCATTGCGGAGGGGAAAGAGAGGTGCAAACGATTACTAGGTTGAGCTATAAGTACACGTCACAGAGACACTGGAGTAGTGATAAAGATGTCACGGTGCAAAGTAGAGGCCTGGTGACAACCACCAAAACCATATTGCACGTCTAATGTCACATCTAAAAACTGCCAGCTGCACAAGATAAATATTTCACGATCCTCCCAAGTCAACCGGCGGCAGGTAAAAGGGAATGGTGCAGTATGTAAAGTTAGTATGATTGTGAACCGTGAGCTGCCAGAGCGATGTGTCTGTCTAAAACCTCACTGCATGGTGCAGTGTCTAGTGCTATGGTCGGCATTGCAGCAGACTATACCCTTCTTATCAATGGAAGATTTCCTGGTTCAGGGATAGTCATATTTCATTGATTCCATCTTCATTTGGTCCTTCCATTCATATCCGCAACTGGTTCTGTTTTTCGACCAGACAAGGCCACGTAACACTTGTAAATACTAGCATGAACATCATTCAACAACTACATCTCCACCGCGGTGAGTTCCTGTGATCTTTGTAGCGGTAGCTACTTAGAGTAGTTTCGCCTGAATCTTTATTGCAAAAGGGGCAACATTATCGGACACGGAAAAGCACAACTAGCTACAAGGAGAGCAGAAACGAAGAGTGATTCCAATCGGGAATCACTGTGTAAAGACAGAGAGCGGAATGGACGGCGGTGCTGCGTGCAAACAGCAGCGACCGGAAGCAGCGTGCCCAGTACGGGATGCCATGTATAGATGGAGCCCGAGGGCAGTGCACTCAGACATGAATACGCACGCGCACCCGAGTACTGCATTCAGTGCATGCGGGGACTGTGCCATAGAAGGGGAAGGGACAGTGATGCGCAGCCAGCAAGTGCAGCGGTACATGAATGCATGAGTCAATGGTACAGCAGGCAGGCTGCGGTTCTTATACAAGTACACACGTTAGATCAATGTGAGTGAGTGTAGGGAGTAGGAAGGAGAAACCTGGAGACAGACAATGCTATGCCTAGGGATAGAGTTCTGTCATGACGCTACTCATTACACCACAATCTTCATACGGAACAAAACACGCTTGTGTCTGCATTGGCGGCTGTGGAAAAGAAAAGAAGTTCCGTTCATGTGTTCCAAGTGCATGTATATTAGCAGCAGCAGAAGAGTAACCAACGACATGCAGTTGCCTGTTCTTTGGGGAAATGCAGTAAGTTTGATCAACAATGCATTTACTGCACTCCTAGTATCCAACAAGACGAAGAGAAGAAAGAGAGTTGGTAACTGAGTGCGATGAAGACCGAGCGGTATGATAATTCCAGAGAAACAGACCGGGTACACTGAAGAGTACGGTTGGACTTTTTCGAGCTCCGTAGTTTGTCGTGCGATTTCTCAGCCCAGCCGGCACCAGGCCAGTCTGGAGGTAGTTACAGGGTAGAAGAGAAGAGTGGTGAGTAGTAGATAGTCTAGGTGGTACTAGTAGGTAGACACAGGTAGCTATGCCGGCCAAAACTGCCACTCGCAGCCTGACGGAATCGGAAATAAAACTTTTGAGCTCCATCCCTGAAATCGAATCGTCCGTCTTTGAAATTGTCAAGACGCTGTCAGCGCTCATGTCGGAATCTGCAAACCGGGAGGTCTGTCTCAAAAACCGGATTGACGAACTGGTCATGCAGATAACAGGACTGAAAGAGGAGGTTGTCGCCATGAAGGAGTCAGCCATTGCAACGGCAAGTGTTACCTTTCCTCCGGCTGAACAACAGACCCAGAGTACGACGAGACGGAAGGGATCTCGTAGCCGTACCCGTACGCGAAAAGACCAGGTCACCAAGTGCACTGGTGCAGCAGGAGGAGAACACCGTAGCGCTTTCAAACGCGTACACGTGGATGACACTGGCAGTGATCGTGAGATCTCGAGTGAGGAAGACGAAAGTTTTCAGACTGTTGGGCGCCCCCCCCCCCCCCCCAGTCAAGCCCCAGAAAAATCGTTCGACCCAATCGCTGATGAGTCGTGGAAACTAGTGTCTAAAGAACCCCACCAAACAAGGAAGGCAGTCGTGCATGTGGGAAATCTGAATGTTGATTGCACAGAGGAGCGAGTGACAGAGTTCACTCAGCAGCGATCTGTGGCCGTGGCCAAATCCGTCAAGGTCCATGAGTGCAGCATGCACACCACGGAAGACGGGAAAGTCTCCGCCCGATTGACACTCGACGCCACTGGCTTAGAAACAGTCACTGCTGTGAACTTCTGGCCACGACCGCTTTACGCTCGAGCCTGGCGACACCGCAAACGGCCGCAGGATGACAGCTCATCTGGTGCATCTGGCGCCGGCAACGTGGGCAGCAGAGGCGATAGGGACAGTGAGGCAGAGGCTGCCTCAGCTGGAGCGATTCAGCCACGCAAACACCAATGAACACCAGCTGCGCAAGGACATACCCAGTAATGAAGCTCCTGCTGACAAATGCTTTTGGGCTGCTGTCAAAGTTTGGAGCCTTCCAGCATGCTGTTGCACGGAGCAGATCTGACATCGCCATCGTAACAGAGACTAAATTCACCCCGGAGAAAGCCTCACTATCTGACTCCTCCATGCCGGGCTTCCACCTACCCCTCCGACTTGACCGATCTGCTCAAGGCGGCGGAGTTGCAGTCTGGGTCCGGGACTCCCTCTCCTTTAACCACCTGAGTGACATCAACTGCCATGGCCATGAGGTCACAGGGCCGGAGGAAGGAGTTTGGGAGTGGTCCGGCCAACCTTTGAGGGGGTCCGGGGGACCTCCCGCGGGAGAAATATTTAAAATTGACATGAAATAGAGCGAATTTGGGCATCTCTAAGGCTCCAGAAAATGCAGAAAATTATAGTAAAAGAACACAAACACAACTTTTTTTATCCATATCATTAAAGCCATACAGTGCCGGTCACGGAGTCCTGAGCTACTTCGAAGCACATCACAAGTACAGTCCAGTCATGTACCTCTGGATTTTTTTTACACCGGTTTTGCACGAATCACATGGACCATCCAGCTGGGAAAGTGGTCCGGCCATGGCCGGACCAGCCTGACCGGTTCCGCCGGCCCTGGGTCATCTGGCTTCGCCTGCACCTGGACAATGGCCAGAAAGTAGTTGTGTGTGCCGTGTACCGACCCGGGTCGTGCCCTGGACAAAATGTCTCTCTGCTTGAGTATCTTGACTCACTCATTGATCAAGCTCAATCCCTCGGGAACAGCGTTGTGATAGCTGGTGATTTAAATGTTCATAATGAAAGCTGGCTATGCAGCACGAAGACTACACCAGCTGGTGAATACATGGAAGACCTCTCTGCGTTCCACGGGCTCCACCAGCACGTTACTCAACCGACACGTGGTGAGAACACCCTGGATCTCATACTCAGCGACTTCTCGGAGACCTCAGTGGTGGTAAATTTACTGGACCCCATTGGAGCATCAGACCATGCCACTGTTGTGGCCACTTTTGATGCCACCCCACTCCGCGAACCACCGACTAAATGGCGCGTTTGGAGGTATGCTCAGGCAGACTGGCCCCGCCTCTCTGCCTTCCTCCGGACTACTGACTGGGACACAATAATTGTCACGAACATCAGTCGTGATCATTTATGTGCCCCCTTTTTTGGCACCAAGCGATTCCCTTTTGTATGCACCCAGCCATGTCTGGCTGTCCTGCAGCTAGCAGTGTGCTCTACTTGCTCTCTGTTGTATGCATGTACCCGTTTCTGGCTGCCGTACATGTCGCGGTGTGCTCCCCTTTCTGCGCATGTATCCATTTCTGGCTGCCATGCATGTCGCGGTGTGCTCTCTTTCTGCGCATGTATCCGTTTCTGGCTGCCGTGCATGTCGCGCTGTGCTCCCCTTTCTGCGCATGTATCCGTTTCTGGCTGCTACAGCTCGCGTTGCGCTTCCCTTGCTCTCCTATGTGTACACACGTCCATTTCTGGCTGTACACGCATGCCTATTTCTGCCTTCGCGCTGACCCCTGAGGAATCGCTTGAGCCTAGTATGGATCCAGTGATCCGAATGTAGCGCCGTTCCCAGCAAGAACTTGCCGACTTTATATTTTGTTGCTCTACAAGCAGCTTTTCGCTAGTCTTCTTCATGTCTCTTCTTAGAGTAGAGACCAGTTTTTTCCTGCTGTAATCAGTAGCTCAGAGCTACATCAATAGCAATAATAAAACCTTATAAAAGACAAAAAAAATCTTGTCGATGCGATGACAACGACGACAAACTGGTGCCGAAACCCGTATGAAGGAGCGGCAGATCGCCTTTGCCCTCCAAAGAAGCCCAACGATACGAGCAGCTTCAAGGCCTCTCTTTCGAAGACTCTCGCTATGTTGTCGAGTGGCCATGGCGCCATTGGCGGGACCTGCACGACGAACTTCCATCCAACTACGGATTAGCACTAGGCTGACTGACCTCCCTTTTGAAACGTGTCACGTCAAAGCGTACTCTTCTTCAACAGTACAACAGTGTGTTGCAAGATCAGTTGACTAAAGGCATTATTGAGATAGTACCGCCTGGGCCCACTTCGAATTCTGTGCATCATCTTCCCCACCACTGCGTAGAGAAGCCTCAACATGCTACAATCTCAATCTCAGCCTTGTACTACTACAACATCAACATCTGTCAAATTACCAAAATTTGAAATTTCCAAATTTTCCGGAGATTTTTTGAAATGGAGCGAGTTCCATGACATGTTCATGTCCTCAATTGACAGTAACACGGGGCTGTCAGAGATACAAAAACTCACCTACCTCAAGGACCACGTTACTGGGTTGGCCCATGACGCCATCTCCGGCCTCCCTTTGTCAAACCCAAACTACACCATTGCGTTGGATATCCTTCGTGCCCGATTCGGCACTAAACAGGTACTGGTGGATTCACATTACACGTCAATGCTCGACTTACCTTCCGCGTCGAACACCACGACCTCTTTACGCAAGTTGTATGACCAGTTAGAAATTCACTTGCGTAGCCTTGATGCTCTCGGCGAGAAAACTGACTCAGGCGTAATTATCTCCATCATGACAAGCAAACTTCCACGTGCCACACTTGTAACCCTTGAGCTAAAAAAGGGCCCAACGCCGTGGACCTGCCAGGACTTAAGAGACGCTCTAGGAGTGTACATTGCGGCACACGAAGCGGCAGATCGCCTTTGCCCTCCAAAGAAGCCCAACGATACAAGCAGCTTCAAGGCCTCTCATGACAATAATCGGTGACGACCCAAACATATCATGTGAGCTTCTGACCATGCGAATCACTGAGGGAATGCAGCGCTTTATACCATCCAAGGTCTTCAAGACCAGACCGCAGGACCCAATCTGGTGGACGCCAGAATGCTCTGCAGCAGTTGACAGAAAGCGCAATGCCTGGCGGAAATCCCGCGATGATCCCAGGAATGGAGCGCTCAAGTGTACATACAAGCTAGCATGCCTTGACTCAACAAGATGTCTAGCAAGAGCCAAAGCCAGACATCTCGACCATGTCAAGCAACGGCTCCGGACGGGCAGCCTGCAAGACAGAGAGTGGTGGAGCGTGATTAAACGAGTTGGAGGGCATGGCCGGGACAGCTCCATCCCAGTCCTGGTTGACCTCGATGGCATGGAATGCACCAAAAGCCACGACAAGGCTAACGTCATCGGGAAGTACTTTGCCCAGAAGTGCAGCCTAGACGATGACTTTGCAGAACAGTCGGGGTCGTTCCCGCATGTCCGCCGGCGCACCGCAAATACGCTTGCAACAGTCCACTTCCGCCAAGCCACCGTACGCCGGACACTCCGAGCCCTGAATCCAAGTAAAGCCACAGGGCCTGATGCAGTACCCGCTAGAGTGCTGAGAAACTGTGCCGACTCTCTGGCCCTGCCCCTATCCAAGCTGTTTACCCTGTGCTTCTGCAGTGGTCATCAACCTGCCATGTGGAAAGTTGCCAACGTCGTACCGGTACACAAGAAAGGCCCCAAGTCGAACCCCAGAAACTACCGACCGATATCACTACTGCCCATAATGTCTAAGTGTATGGAGTCCATCGTGAATCGCAGCCTGTCCAACTTCCTGAAGAAGAATGACATCCTTTCTCACAGGCAGTTTGGCTTTCGCACTGGACTGGGAACCTCTGATCTGCTGATTGCTCTTCAGCATGAGTGGAGCCTTGCAGCTGCCGGTGGAGGCCTCGTCAGGGTCCTCGCAGTAGATATTGCCGGGGCCTTCGACAAGGTCTCGCACAACGGTGTCCTCCACAAGGCTGAGCGGTGCGGCATAAGTGGCCCCCTCCTTGCCTGGCTCCGGAGTTACCTGACAAACCGCCACATCCGTGTCGTCATAGGCGGCCAGTCTTCACCGACCCACCGAATCCAATCTGGCGTGCCGCAGGGCAGCATCCTCGGCCCCACCCTCTTCCTTCTGTACGTCAACGACGCACAGTCGAGCCCACAAAGTCACAGGCATTGACCATCAGCCACCACCGCTCGCCAACCCCCCCCCCCCCCCCCCCCGAACGCAATACGCTTCCAAGGAGCAGTCGTGCCAGAAGTAGAGGAGCTCAAGCTTCTTGGCGTCACCTTCGACAGGCTCTGCTTTCTGTACAAGCTGCACTTTGTGGAGGGTGGCCATTCTGCCACCATCAGCAGCCGCACCGCAATGCCGCATGTCCACTCGTGAGACAACCAGATCTGCAGCACATCATCCATCACAACTCACCAGTATCCTTCCTCCTCAGTCACGAAACAACACGCTCCGCTCATTTCCCCACTCCCTCATCGCAACGTGGAATCAGCTCCCACCTACCCTTCTGCAGTCTCCCCCTTCTCGCAGAGGTATGCACACATTCAAGAAAAATGTCAACGACCACTTGCGGCGCAGCAAGTGGGAGTGGGCCACAGACAGCTGGGGTATGATCTCTCCATCGCAGCCAACACACCAGCCTAATAATACTGACCGCACTCCAGCTCCCTTCTACCCCTCCTTGATTCCCTTCGCTCAGCCTTAATATTCGATTATCAGTTCTCTCCATCTTCCTACGGTGCACTGCTTTTACTATTGTCTTGTCCTATCTCAATCTCAAATTCTCCCCATTATCGTTTGCAAAGCCGGTGCTTCCCTCTTGGATGCACATGTTTCTTTTCTCCTATGTATCGGCGCACAGGAGTAACGATGATTCCGAGACCTTTGGTCGGAGGAGTTACTTTTGCCCCGCCCCCACTTCCATCCAATACGCCACCGCCCCCGCTGTGCAACATCTGATGGTTCTGTGGTATTCAGTAAAAAAAAAAAAAAAAAAAAAAAAAAAGAGAAAGCAGCAGCATTCGGGATCCAGCCCATCATTAGCTGGAAGATGATCATTCAGGTTGACCTTCAGTGTCAACTATGGTGGCTGCTGCTATTTCTTTTCTTTTCTTTGCCCGTACACATCGTGGATCAGTGGCAAATGATCTTAGCACCTTCGCAGATGTTTGTGGAAACTTTCAAAGTAGCCTTCTATGGCATGGTGTGCGCACAAAGGGCCTGAAGACGTGTACTTTACAGGGAAATTTGTGCCCCCCCCCCCCCCACACACACCCTTAATCAAGATCCTGGCTAGGCCCCTGCGACCTGTCTGATAAACTGGTGTAGACAGCACTGATCTGGCTATGCATGGTGGTGTACATGTAGTGTGATGCACTCACCGTCAACAGTAGCCCAGGCCGTCGGTTGAACAGCATGAGCGCTGCAATGATGATGATGAGCAGATTGAGGATGTTAGCCGTTCCCGTTCCGTACATTCCACCGATGAAGTCGAAGATCAGTCTCTGACATGTTGCAATCTACACGCATCCGCACACATACACATCCACACACACACACACAACTCTGCATCTCGACTTCCTTGGATCAACACGGTTAGATGGTGCTTGCCTGATTTTGATTCCCTGCACAAACATCTGTTTCATTCTGTCTACAAGAAGGCCGCATTATGGACATAACCATGATAACTTCCCACATGATCATTCTCAGGATTGTTATCATGTGCCACACATAGATACCATGTAGGCTGGGTCAAGTACCCTGTATCCTTTACACTTATGAGTACATATACAATGTCATACACAATCATGTATTTTCCAGTGTTCTAGCCAAGGAGGGGGGGGGGGGGAGGCGCAGCGCCCTCCTACTCTGATCCCCCCCCCCCCCCACACACACACACTTTGATAGCGCACCATCCTACTCATTTTTTTATATTTCTGTGTATTTTCAGTTCACACAGCAAAAATATGACCACAAATCAAACCCGGATGGAGAGCCAAGAATTAATTATTATTTATACAAAAGAGAAAGGACCAAGGAACTACATGTTACGCTATACTGTCCACTAACACCACTAGTTACTAACACAATTAGCTCATGCGATAACATTAGGTGTTAGTTGTAGAACGTCAGTACTGTCGGTCAGTGTTGTGCAATGTTATCGCATGAGCTGATTGTTTAGTAACTGGTGGTGTTAGTGGACAGTATAGCATAACTTGTAGTTCCTTGGTCTATTCTCTTTTGTATAAACAAATCAAACTCTGTGCACTTGTGCGTTGCATTTTATTGTGACAAGGCAATAGTGGAACATGAAAAAAATAGGTGAAGTGTTTGTTTCCCCTACCCCCCCCCCCCCCCCTACATTTTTTCCTGGCTAGAGCTCTGTGTCAAGAAGTACTTCAAAAAGAAGTGACTTGGTGTTATCTAGCCAGCATATACAATACAAGGAAGTGAGGGTGATGAGTCAATCCTGGCAGGGGAATTGTGGGTAAATAATAATCACATGGGAACAACTCATGATCCACCTGTGTTGCTTCAATTTCGTACTTCACATGCCGTCTACTCAAATTGTCTCTGATCATGGCACGCACCTGAGAGCATAAACGTAAATTTCAGACTTGGGACCGTTGGGTGCTAGACTTGCAGTAGCACCACTAGCACTTGCAGAGGTGATAAAGCCTTCACTCACATTAAGCCATGTAGAAAGCAATGCACGGAATGAAGGAGTCTGGACACATCACTAATGCAATGCGTGATACGCTCAGTATTTCGCCGAAGACGCCCTTGCAGATACATAATGAGCCCACTCACCGTATCCAGCGCTAGCAGCGCGTACAACACATTTGTCATCCGACAGCAACCCATTGCTAGCGCTTTGTCCACTTCCTAAAGTTACAAATGGAAGTGTGTCGCGACGGTGCGATGCTTGGTGTTCCAGCGAACCAACCTCTCACCCTCCGTCAGTCTCAGCCTAACTCCAGATCTTGCTAATGCTATCGTGTTCAAGCTTACAATCATTCAGCATGGATTAGTGACAATGTCAAAGCACGCTCGTGCCCGTAGATTTCCGAATATTGTAGCTTCGCTGAAACTGCAAGCGCTCCGCAATGACACTTAGAAGTTAGACACACTTCGAAGTCCGCCTGTGGTGCGGAGCCCAAGCCAAGAAGTCAATCCTCGGCCAACAACCTGGGCCTCAGACTCAGTATTACTAGGTACTGGTAGTGTGTTGCCAAACGGTTGTGGGCGAAGATCTCTCTCACCAGGGCCATGTCAACGTACAGGAATACCACGGCTGGTCACGCTAGTGACAATCTTTGGCTAGCCTAGGCTATGATTGCTGGGCACAGGTGCCTGAACGACTTCATGATCATCAGAACCGCCACCGTCGAGATCGTCGATATGGCTTCCCCTCCGCCACAGTCCCAGCCCTGGTCACGTCCAGGCTACGGCGCATGGCCTGCCGACGGTCTACGAGTACGAGTACGACTAGCGACTACGGTCGGTCGTCACCGAAGCACTGCCAATGCAACCTTGCAAGTTGCAGTCTGTAGAGTGTAGATCTACGAGTGACCATGTGTAGACTACTGCCTAGTACTGGGCCTGGAGAGTGGAGTATGGCATGCCTTGCAAGGACTTGCCTAGATCAGCGGCTGCAGAGTGCAGACACTGACAGGCGTGTCCGCTGCGTTCATCATTGACATTGTTCATCGAGTACATCGACTACTGCTGCACTGCACTATAGTTCAACTTCAAGGGTGGCAGAGTGCAGTATGCATCAACCGGCGGAACTCTACACAGACCACATCACAGCAACAACAACACCGACAAATCTACGGCAACTCGCCACAGCGTTTTTCTTTCGACGTCACTCAGGACGGTGGATCATGGACGATCAGCTGAGTTTGCTGCTTGCAAGGCTGCGGCTGGTTCCGGGTTCAGAATCAGATCACCAAGTCACTGTAGTCTGTATTAGTAGTGTAGTGAGTGTAGTGTGTGCATCAGGGAGTAGTAAAAATACATTTTACTACTCCCTGGTGTGCATACATGAATAGTACATTAGTAGTGCTGACCGTACCCCGTAGTGAGTTTTAGCCAGTGTCAGTCTGAGTCTCTGACCTACATACATGTACTTGACATAACACAATACCTTTGACCCACATCATGCCACTAACTACTTACTACCGCAATACTAGTCTTTCAACGAGCAGTATAACTATAAGGTCAAAGTCCAGTGTACCTGTCACCCTGAGCCCCAGCCTACACTACTACAGGCTACATGTAGTGCCTACTGCGGCCTAACCGCTACTGCCAGGACTGCGGGATCTCCGAGTGAGATCTACGAGTACGTGTACGAGTACGAGTGTCATCGCGCGCGATATCGAGCAGCAGAATCACCTGATCACTGAATTCGCATAAAAATAATAATATTCTCGGGATAAAAACACATAATGCGGCGCGGAATTCCCAGAAGCCCACTAATAATTATATAATCATGATAATGGCACTGTATATCGTGCATGCATGCAACGTGAAGTCTTTGTAAGTCATTTTACGTTTACTTTTAGTTTTACAGTTTTAGACCAGAGCGGCGCGGCTGTCCCCTGAATGGCCTGATGCAGGCTGATGCTGGCTGATGCTGAGTGATCATGGTGATGGAGCATGTCGAGTAGTCCTTCAGCCGCTAGCCGCCACGCTGGGGTCAAAAATGGCTACCACCAAGCTTCCGCCAGGCAGGCTCTCTACGGCGTAACCAGTTAGTGCCCCTCTGTAGTGTAGCTACAAAAATATGTAGCATAGCGAGGAAGTGAAGAAGCTCCAGTCCTTTTCTCCACTGCACAGATGCAGACATCATTATCCGTACGTATTAAACCGCGGCAATCATTGATATTAATAATTACTATCATTCTGAGCGTAGGGAGGTAACTGCCAGGTGGACCGTGAGATTGGCCATCATATCAAGTACATGTACCTAGAACACTGATGCCCATCATAATAATAAATATGAAGCATCAACATCACACAGTGTTACCTGGGTGAGACTGAGATACAAGAAAACCTGTGTACATGTACATGTACATGTATACCTGTACATGTACATGATTGTGTTGCAGCCTGTCTTTTGAGGGCATTGCCCTAACGGCCTAAGCATAAGGCTAAGAATTAGGCTACCATGGATCATACCGGCCTTGGCTCCTTCTCCAACACATGTACATGATATGTACCTGCCCCTTGTGCCAGTGTGTTTGAACTTTGTAGAAGCCCATCTGCCAGCCCCAACTCCCCCCCCCCCCCTCCGGCAACAGTTTAAAATACATTGTGGTATATACATGTAGGTACATGTACACACACACACACACACACACACACACACACACACACACACACACAACAGAGGCATGTACCAGGGAGATGCCCTTTCCCAAAGATGCTCGCCACTTGTTCGCAATGTTTCATTGTTTTGGAAGAAATCGCAACTTTCGCAACTTTCTTCATTTTCGTGAACTACTTCGCAACTTTCCCGCAACCTTCAACTGAGTGGCCTAATGGCATGGGGGTAAAATGATCAAAAGTCACAGACTATAATTTATTTCTTGTGTGCCTTCAGACTCACTTCACTCCTTTTCAGAGAAACAATAGATCTACGGTAGTTGCATAATGTGCATTCCTTTTTTCGTGCACTGTCTGAGGTGATGGAGGATGCGTGCAGCAGGTTACTTGCACGATGTAAAGTAACAGTTCACAGTAGGAAAGTGTGTAGAGTTTGCTGTCGCTACCCTTCTGCCATTTCCGCTCCTTTTTTGGTTGTTTTTGGCATCATTGTAGGCACAAGAACTCTGTTGTTGCGATGGTAGCAACTTTAATATGAGCTTTTTCTGAAAATATGGATGCAATTTCAGCAACTTGCACGTCTGTTGGCACAGTTGTGAAAAGCATAAGTTGGGAAACATTATGGCATCTTAGGGAAAGGGCTACCACTAGTACCAGGGAGCACTACACATACATGCTGTTGGTTGACAGCACGTTACAAAGCGGAGGACCACTGTGTTCAGAAACAGTACCCCTTACAGCCATCCACAGTAACTAGTATGGGGCACTGTTTCCAAACACAGTGCGCCTCCGCCTTGTAACATGCTGTCAACCGACAACATGTTTTCAACAAAACAAGGTTTATCTAATACCGTACATGTACATGTACATGTGTGTGTACATGTACATGTACATGTACATGTACATGTGTGTGCAGGCCTCCCTGAAGTAGGTACAGGGTACATGTACATGTACATGCCTGTGTAGACATTCATGGTGGAGCAGACCATGAAAAAATGAAAAAAGAAAAGATCCCTGTACAGGCTATAGTGTAGTGTAGATGGTGTGACTGTCGGTGCACTAGTATCCGTATGCGGCTATGCCCTCCTCCTGCATACCCATGTCCGTGCACAAGCCAGTGTCTGCCAACACCGCTTGTCACCAGGGAGTAGTAAAACCGTGACTATTCCTTGCTTTATAACGGCTTTCAGTTGCTGGGATGATTGCCGCCTTTTGCAGGCAACCTGAACTCTGGAGTAGCAATGGCAATGGCACACGTTCGAATTGTTCTTTTCTTCCCGTGTGTAGAGAGTGCCCTGTGTAAATATACAGGTCAGGCTAAAATCAGCTTTAGCAGTAGACACAACTCTTCCTTGTTACCATAGTTACCGTGCTACGCTGGCTCTGTACTTTGGCATGCACCTTTACTCTACTAGTACGTACATACGGCTATGCATACAGTTATGCATAATTTCATTCATATTGTTACGCATCACCATGCATAAGGCCTCCATGCATACGGTGATGCATAAGGGCTCCATGCATACGGCGATGCATACATGTACATGTAAGTACATGGATAAGATTATGCATAACGATGCATATGGTTGTGTATCACCCATGGACACAGCTACACATAAAGCCATGCCCAAATTCACTAAAAGTAAAGCTATGTGGTCTTGTGAGTACAAGTACATGTAGGTAAGGCCTTGGGCATATACATGTACCGGTACATGCATGTACATTGTATACTGTAGTGTCGCGTATAAAAGCATGACCCGCGTAAAAGCATGACACGTGTAGAAGCATGACCCGTGTAGAAGCATGACTCGAATAGAAGCCGATTTTTTGAAGAGCGCCTTGACACAGAATCACGATTTGAATAGAAGCATACATGCAAGTGCATGTATGTGCACACTACATGCATGACAATGTGCACTGTACAGTGTAGACTGAAGATTTTGACGTAGAAGCATGTTTTAAATAGAAGCATAACTTGAATAGAAGCATGGTTTGAACCCCGGCTTATACGGCCGTAAGCACCTGCTTTTATACGCGACATTACGGTATGTACAGGTCTACCCCCGTTAGTACGACATTGGTTACAAGACAACCCTCATTAGTAGACAATGATCAAAAATCCCTAGACGTCTGGCCTGCGTTGCATATTGTTACAATTATACTGTCAGGGACCAGATCACAACAAAAAAAACTGGGGATTGTCTTCAATCTCCACAATCCTAGTAGCAGTAGGTCTACACCTGTACCGGGTCTACAGCGGAGTATAGGGCCGCTAGAGTGATCCCGGACACCAGCCAATCTATGTACAGTACTGGCGGGCGCCGAAGAACGGTGGTCAGGGTTCTAGCCTAGCCCATTCGTAATTTTCGTGAACACAGTAGTTTCGTTCTCATTCGATGGTACAGTCATACATGTACATTTGTGCAAAGTTATGTTTCTGTCTGAGTGCACATTATAGTGCACATTACGGTTTCCATTCTTATCTGCAAAGAATCCGGCCTAGACCGTTCTTCTTTAAAAAAAAAAAGGTGGAATTATAGCCTGCCCGTTCTTCAGCGCCCGGCAGTACTGTAGTAGCATGATGAACATGGACAGTTCTGCATAAAAACTGCACCGGAAACAGGAACCACTTGCGTTGTGCGACCAACGACCGACTTTTACTTTTAGTGTACCAAGTGTAAGCCATATCTGACCTGCATACAGCGACCAAAAGTGCTGGGCTTGACTGCAACGGGGTTGAAATGCGCTTAGAAGTGAGTGCATGCAGTGAACGGATATGGCGCGTGACAGTGCAGGGTGCGCTGCATGCAATGGAGTGAGGAATGTACACATAAACTCGTAGGTGCTTCGTCTGCACTGTATCCAACACCTGTCAATTTGAGTACCAGTATATGGAAGTACATGTATGTGCTTCGCCCGGCATGCCGCGAATGTATGGGACCTTTTCTGAAGACCACCTGGCTTTAACGACCGCTTTTGCTCGCACCGTGGGATGGTCGCCTAAACCTGGGTGTGCTGTATGTACTGTATGTACGTTGCTTCCATCGTTGAAATGTTGATGTACATGCACAGTGCAACTGAGTGTGTACATGCCTAAGCAATCTATACATCAAGTATCACCGGTACCTTCACTGAGGGCATGGCAGGGGTAAATGCAGTTGGATCCCTGGACGTACTATATACAATACCTTGATGCCGGCAGTATTTCTTTTCCCCCGGATACACATGTGACCAGTTTAGGCAGTGCAGTCAGGAGCAGTACAAAAAGTGCGTGTGTCTGCAATGCATGCATGTAGCTGTGTGGTGTAGACCAGGCTGAATAGTGGTGGTCAATTCTTCAGCCTTGCAAGCTGTTGAATGGTGCAATCCCAGCACAAGCTGCTATGGCTTGTGCTGCCCAGTACCATGTAGTGCTACAAAGCAGGAGTGATGGTGGATATGCGGGCATACTACTTGCTAGCACTGTACCCCATTGTGGTTACATGTATTACCGTTATTAGTGGATATGCAGGCATGCTACCTGCTAGCCCTGCACCCCATTGCGGTTATCAGTGGATATGCAGGCATGCTACTTGCTAGCAGAACCCCATTGCAGTTATCAGACCCAACCAGTCAGCCAGCAGGTTTCGTTCATGTCAAAATGCCCAAAACTTCAAGAAAAATACAAGCGCGGGAAACAGTCCGAGACTAACAAAACGTGAAAGACAGAATAGGAGATGGGACAAAGGACAAGCTGCGCTTTTACAAGATTGATCTCATAATTAAAATATAAAAGAAGGGCGTGTGGCACAAACGGCCAAAAAAGGCTGAGAATGAGATGGAAAGAAACAAAAAATGTAAGAGCATCGCAAATGTGCCCACAGCTACCCAGATCAACTGGAACAGAGGGACGAGGAAAAGAAGAAGCAAAGTGCACGGTCGTTCAACAGCAAGGCACTAAGCACACGACATGGCGACAGGACAAAAAGAAACAACAAGAGCATTGCCTGCACAGCACACAAGAACACCATACTATGTACAATTACAGTAACCGTCAAGCAAAACATTGTTACAAACTGCAAGCGAAATGGCCAGCAATCACCAGCAGAACGGACCACACCTAAGGAGAAGAAGAGACACTATAGAACAAGACCGCAATAGATATTTCATAAAGAATTTCATGTGGCTATTTGCCGACTATGACTATCACTAAATGCTCCTCGTCCTGGGTGGTATCTGACAACTCTGGCGCCGTTGTCACACTGGCGAGTTGTTCTTGAGAAAATTCACTGGGTGGGAACGCGTGAAGAACGCCACAGCCTGTCTCAGTACTGCTGCTGCTGTTGCCTGTACTTTGGTCTTGCATGTCAGTCTCAGCACGCTCTGTAGTTGACTCTGCAGAATCTTTGGCCGCGGGCGACAGCTGCGCAACACCAGCAGCTTGCTTCTGCTTCAAAAAGAGGACAAGATTGCGCAGTGGTTTCACCTGTAAGTCTCCATTCTTCTCTTCTTTTCCTTGGCTAGTTCTTTCACTGTTGGCTACAGTGGATTCGTCACTGTCTGCGGACACAGCAAGCAACACACAGTAGCCTTTGGGCCCGCTAGACGTCATTCTGCGACGCACTTCGTCTAATTTTTCTGCATCCAATCTTAGGCGCTGCGTTATCGAAACCAACTCCACATCACTAGTCAGGAAGTTTGAGGCAAGTGATGGATCACCAGACACAACAAACATCTTCATCGCAAAGGACATTTTGCGTAGCGCCAATGCCCCTGTCCAGAGAAGCTGTAAGCCAGAGGCAACCTCCAAGAGCGAGTGACTAACACTGGGTACAGCAGCAGCCGTCGCCACACGTTTCGCCTGGGAATCCTCATCACTGCTACTGGTCCTGCGCCGCCGACGCTTTTGATGACTGCTGCTGGCTGGCTGCTCACTACTATCCTCTGCCACCTGCTCACACACAGTTGTCTCAGATGCGGGCGCTGATTCACTACTGACGCTGCTATGCCGCTTACGGCGGTGGCTTTCTTTATCTTCACTTGGTGCAGTGCGTCCAGCATTAGACTCTCGGTCAACACTATCATCAAAATCTTGCACAGGGCCGCCAGTCCGACTCTCTGCAAAGCTAACCACTATGGAATGCTCCAGGTCTTTGCCGTCGGCTCGGTTCATTTCACGAGCCGCAGCACTGGCAGCGTCCACGCTGTCAAATGAAACCAACGCCATTGGATCTCCACTGCTGTACTCAATGTGATGAATTGTGCCAAACCGATCAAACTCCCGCTCCAACCAGTCCAAAGAACACCACGAACCCAGGCCACTGATATGGATGCGAGCAGATGGTGTACCGCGGCCATAGCCCAAGCGAATACGACTGGCTCCAATTAGGCTCTGCTGTAGTTCCAGTTTTGCCTCTTTTGCTGAAGCTATCTCAGCAAACCGCACAAAGGCAAATGTTCCACTCGCTCCATTGCGCGGGGCCTTGATGTCCACATCTTCCACGGCGCCGAACTTCCCAAACACTTCATGGAGTTTTTGATTCCTAGTACTACTGTCCAGATTACCAACAAACAGTGTACGAGTTGGTATAGAGTCGTCAGACATACTGCTCCGTCCCTCAGACCTAGATCGTGGGCCACTATCAGAACGATGATCCGGTCGGAAATTCGGATCCCTGATCTCACGCCGCATCTCAGCATGGCCAACAGGCCTGGTCATGCCAAACACCCTGGGTTCGCGCTGCACGTGAATGAGCATTGGTATGTTATACAGGCGCTGCTCGTTTTCCGAGCGGCGTGCGTTGCGTGATTCATCCAGGCTCCAGAAAGTCACGTATGCCTCCTTGGTCATACCACGACCGATATCCACCACATAAACACTGCAGTTGCCATGGCGCCGGAATATGTGTAGTAGATCTTGCTTCATGTCCTGGTCACGTATATCGCCACACAGATTTTCCACACGCAGTTGAAACATGGGTCTATTGCTGCCAAAGGGACGGGCCTGTGAGAAAGGCGCACCCATTGGACGCTCATCTCTGAAGCCACCGCCTGGACCACCTCTTGCATGGTAGTTCATCGGTCTACCGCGGGGTGGAGACCTGTTCCTGAACGAGTCGAAACGCCTAGGACCTGGCCCATTGTCGTCAAATCCAAATCTCCGCTGTGGCGAACGTGCCCTTCCGTCAAAATCACGCCTCGGTGGGCCACGGAACGAATTATTTGATCTCGATCTGTGCATAGTCCACGACACTCCACACCACCATTGCTATACAGATATCATTAGAGAGATGTCCGTGTTTTATTTACATTGGGTTGCCCAGTAAAGAGCCTGAACTGAAGACTGTGAAGTATTTGCCAGGAGCATTCAGTCTTCAGATTTTCATCAAAGACGAAAAGTACAACAACAACACATAACAGTCGCCCCTATCATTATCAAAGCATGCACATGCATGCAAACCAGCGCGCGGCATTTTTTCTTCCAGTGAAAAAATTATTCGATCGAGTGAAACAAAAAATGCACCGACCATAAAGTCGGTATTTTACGACTCCCTAGCCCTTCACTCTGCACGGACAGGCGCAGCGAAGGCACTGGGCACAAATTTGCTCGAAAAATCACCCAGAAATTCTCACAAAATTTCGCTTGAAATCCAGGTCTTTCTTCGCATCCATCCAACACAAAAAGATGCATTCTCAACTTGTGACATAAAGGAAACAAAAAAATATTCTTTTTCTGTTTTCTGGGTCTGGCAAGTTCAGATAGCTTTGCTGGTTTCAGCTTGTTTAGCAGAGAAACCACCTTCTTGTTTTCCTCATACCTTTCACTTTCAGCCTCCTCCTCATCCGCACTATCCACTCGACAAACGTCAGCAACCAGCCGATTATGCCCGCGAAATCACCGATTGTGCTCGTGTGATATTTGGACCCTAAAATGCTCGATTTATTGCCGGCATATTTGCCGGGTCCCTATTCACGGATCGATGGCGTCATACAACAGTCAAGAGTAGGCTTGTAGTACAATGTACAGTCAACTTCGCTAATAACGACTGCGGATATAACGACAATTCGGCAATAACGACAACATTTCCATGCCCAGATCTGCAGAGCAAAGTCCCATCAAACTATACTATATGATCCATATAATGAGACTTCGGGTACTGAGTATAAAGGACACTTCGCGAATAAGGACACTTTTCTGATGCCCCGCCGAGTGTCGTGAAGTTGACTGACTGTACATGTACATGATTATGACTCTTGATGGCGTGCATGCATGCAGATTGCAGTGCTTACTCCATGCACTGTGACGTCATCCCTAAACAAAATTTAATTTGTTTAAAGGGGAAGTTAAGGCAAAAATTAAAATTTCACCAGTTGTAGTCTTCGGGGTGCTGAGTCGAATGGTCTTGGTCCGAGGAAGCTGAACGCTCCCCTCCTACTTGAATCCCAATCGAACTCGCGCACTTCCACTGAAACTGGGTGACTGCGCCCTACTAGATGGGGATTTGTATGCAAAATGTCACTAAAAGCGCCATTTCGTTCTTATAAAAGCACGGATGACCGCGATTGGCCCATATGTTGTAGTCTTTTGGACACTGAGTCGACTGGTTTTGGTCCGAAAAGGCTGCGATGCAGCGTTCCTCCTTTATTCCCAATCGAACATAGTTGAACGTTACAAGCGGTCACATGCTCCTGGGTGCCCAAATCACCTGGTCACCACGCCAGCAGGCGACAACTTTCACACCAAGGTTCAACTCGAGTGACAGGACTGCACCCAAAAAAGGTCAAACAAGCTAGTAAGTTATACCCTGCAGGCACGGTGACCAGGTGACTGGCGTACGCAGGAGCACGTGACCGCTTGTTCAACCATGTTCGATTGGGAATAAAGGAGGAACGCTACATCGCAGCCTTTTCGGACCAAAACCAATCGACTCAGCGTCCAAAAGACTACAACATATGGGCCAATGGCGGTCATCCATGCTTTTATAAGAACGAAATGGCGCTTTTAGTGCCATTTTGCATACAAATCCCCATCTAGTAGGGCGCAGTCACCCAGTTTCGGTGGAAGTGCGCGAGTTCGATTGGGATTCAAGTAGGAAGGGAGCGTCTCAGCTTCCTCGGACCACGACCATTCGACTCAGCACCCCGAAGACTACAACTGGTGAAATTTTAATTTTTGCCTTAACTTCCCCTTGAACGCGCGACTGATGTGGCGCGGATATCCGGCCGGCCGGATCGATCGGATCCATATCCGGATATCCCCGCCCCGCCCACGCCATGCATGGGCATTACCGGTACATGGACCCATACTGGTATGGACTAGGCTATGGCGATGGCGCTGTAGTCCATACCATGTAGATCTACCAGTATCAGAATGCGTTCATTCTACTGTAATACCGTAAAAGAACATTGTATTGTCAGAATCATTACTTCCCGAATATAAGTCGACCTTCTGTGCGCCAGAAATTTCGCCAAAAGCTGGGGGTCGACTTACAAACAGAACTCGACTTACATACGGGCACCCTGTAAGAAGACCTTAGGGTCTGTTGGGAATGCCCAAGTAAAATAAAATATATATTAATATATACCGGAATCTGGCACAACAAATGAAGTGACTGGAGTGTCCGTACAGAAATGCACTACCGTACGAACCATGTGAACTTTCGTCCCGCAAGTGTCAAGTCACTTTGTCTTAACTGGCATGATATAATCTCTCCTCGCAGAGAATTCATCATTTTGTATGTGTGGGTGTCATGGAGCTATAACAACTTTTTTTCATGAAATTGACTCCTGGATTTGGGGTGGTCGACTTATATTCGAAGTCGACTTATATTCGGGAAATTACGGTAGTTGTATTTGTTGGCAGTCTTGCTATGATGATTGATGACGATGATGTAGATAATCAAGTGAGGCACAGAGGTGAGAGGGCTTGATGGCTGATCAAACTCAAAGCCCAAGGGACCAGCCCGAGGGCCGTAGGTCATTTCCACGCGAGTGGGTTTCCGAAGTGCTGTCAACATACACATTGGGTTACATTTCAAGTGTCTTCTCCAGAGCCGGGTAATCGACCCGGTTGGGCAGCGCTTGGACCCGGTTGAAAATATAGTACCGGGTCACCTGTGACCCGGTTGGTACTTTACACCAGGGAGTCGTGCTTTACGACTCCCTGCTCAGTTACACATTCGAACTTTGAAAGGACTGACTACATGGCTTGTATGTGTGACAGATCATGCAGAGGCGCGCGTTGAAGTGAAAGTAGTCAGTATCCAGCGAAGAGGCGAATTTCGGGAATCCACAGGCCCTGCTTCCAGGACTCTTGGAAAACAGGTCGTCCATGGTTTGTCTACGACATGGAGATGAAAAAGATGACCTGCTCCTGGTGCGCGACGCATTTGACTCGGCTGGTGAGACAGCGCCAGGTACATGTGTACCCGGCTCCGACCCGGTTGAAATGGTTGCGCCAGGTACACGTGTACCCGGCTGTCCTACAATCCTAGAGCAGACACAGATTTCATACAAAATCGATTATGGCTCAACCGATTTCAAGCGCACACAGTACAGCGTCAATCAGACTTTCATTATTTTCAAACACCAAGAGCCAGGAAAGCTCAGCTGCCAGACAGACTTCTGTTCGGAGTACTCCTCTCCCTCGCCTCGGCTTGGTTGAGCACTTTCTGGTCTGCCCTGGTATGAAGCTACGTGAGCCGTTATAAAAATGCTTTGTTCATTAGCTTACGTATCTAATATTGACAGAGTACAAGGTCAATATGGGAAATAAAAGCCTAGTAAAAGACCGAGGCGGAGCCGAGGTCTTTACGAGGTTTTTATTCCCTATACTGAACAAGCACGAAGTCAATATTAGATTTATCACGACAGTCGGTATTTTAAACGATAACCTCATGAATCCCGGTTTTATGATTGCACAACCGTTGCACCATCACCTACTCATACAGTGACCATGCTGCACTACTAGACTAGGCACCATTCAACTTCAATACTAAGACTAAGAGAGTGATAAACATGTACATATATTATTGCTTCATTGACCTGTACTAGTATTACAGGTTCGGCCAGTAGTTGCAACTCTGAGCTCCACTGAGGAGACCTAATAAGGTCGAAACAGTACAGCATGATTGAGTGACTGCATGTACTGTCGGGCGCCGAAGAACAGACCGCCGACGAATGGCCAGGCTAGAAATCAAATCTTCACCAGTTGTAGTCTTCGGGGTGCTGAGTGGAATGGTCTTGGTCCGAGGAAGCTGAAACGCTCCCTTCCTCCTTTATTCCCAATCGAACTTGCACACTTCCACCGAAACTGGGTGACTGCGCCCTACTAGATGGGGATGTGTATGCAAAAGTCACTAAAACTTAAAAGCTGAGTCGACTAGTTTTGGCCCGAAAAGGCGGCAATGCAGCGTTCGGCCTTTATTCCCAATCGAACATGGGTGAGTAAGCGGCCACGTGCTCATGCGTATACTAGTCACCTGGTCACCGTGCCTGCAGGCTACAACGTTTACAGCGTTCCTGTCCCTCGACTCGAGATGAACCTTTGAGTTGACCATTGGTGTGAAAGTTGTCGAAGGAGCCGTACAGCCAGGTCATGTCGTGGATCCGGTGACGGCTGTCTTTTGCCCTGCTGAGATCCAGCATTGCTTGTTTGCGGGGCGCACGGCGGATTCGTCCCCTGCCAGCCATGGACACCTCTGAATGTGAGGGTGGTGGCTGAAGCGGCTATCCGGTCCTGAGGCAGTTGTGTTCGGTGTCCAAGGCCGGTTTTTGACATGACTCTACTAAGTACATCATAGTTGTACATTTGGAATTACAATTGTTATTATTTACATTAGACTGTATTTACAGCCATTTATCTCCTTTCTTCCTGTTGTATAATCACTGTCCCGCGTGTATTTACCGCCATATTGCCAGGTGTTTGTTTACCACCATAATTATGATTCAAAGCCTCTCAATTACGACTCACAATTTGTTTGTCGCCTGCAGGCCCGGTGACCAGGCGACTGGTGTACACATGAGCATGTGACGGCTTACTCGGCGGGGTAATGCTCGCCCGTCTTCGATTGGGAATAAGGGCCGAACGCTGCATCGCAGCCTTTTCGGACCAAAACCAGTCAACTCAGCATTCGAAAGACTACAGTCAACTTCGCTAATAACAACTGCGGATATAACGACAATTCGCGAATAACGACAGAATTTTCATGCCCATGCGCCCAGAGCAAAGTCCCATCTCACTGTAATACATATAATGAGACTTCGGGTATAACGACACTTCGCGAATAAGGACACCTTTTTGATGCCCCGCCGAGTGTCGTTATAAGCGAAGTTGACTGTACAACATATGGGCCAATCGCGGTCATCCGTGCTTTTATAAGAGGGAAACGGCGCTTTTAGTGACATTTTGCATACAAATCCCCATCTACATTATAGTAGGGCGCAGTCACCCAGTTTCGGTGGAAGTGCGCGAGTTCGATTGGGAATAAAGGAGGAAGGCAGCGTCTCAGCTTCCTCGGACCAAGACCATTCGACTCAGCAACCCGAAGACTACAACTGGTGTTCGGTTACACAGGCCTGGCGGAACCGGTCCGGTTGGTCAGGCCATGGCCGGACCAACCTTTTGGCCACCAATGTGTGTCACTGCTGAGGAGGTCATGTGTATACCCTCCATATCCTACACAAACTGTATGAAAGACTAGCGTATGGCCGGACCAATCAAAACTGCTTCCGCCGGTCCTGCGGTAAAAAGAAGAACTGGCTAGGCTACAAAGAACCCTGACCCCCCAGTTCTTCGGCAACCGACAGTACTGTAGTCGTGTAAGAGAAGCTACAAATAACCACCAATCATTGCAGAAAGGTGGATGATGCTGGCACGTCGGCACCTCCACCACTATTTCCCCTCGGTTTTTACACTGCAACTGCTTCTACTCCGAGCCCTTAGCCGACTAAACAACAGATTGCTTATCGCAAACAGATAACCATTTGGCAAGGAGAACTGGTTCGAGGCACACGCCAAACATACCGGTAATAATCATCGGACAGTCACTTTTGCTATCATTTCGGTGCATCCGTCAAGATTGTTGGGCAAAACTTGATAAGCGCCAAGTCGCCTCGAGGATGGCCGGAATTACAATTCAGAGCCCCCTCTGTGACACCAAATCCGACATGCCCTGGAAAGATCAGATTGAAAAGATGCTTGGTTCGTTGGTGGGGAGTCTGGCCTCAAAACAAACTTTGACATGAGATACCTTCCACGATCCATCCACGGCCTAGCGCATGCACTGTACTGGGTGCAGGTTTCTGGCATGCAAGAATGAGTGCTCGGCAAAATTTGCTGCCAAAACACAAAAAGTCTTCCTTCCAGGTGTACAAGTACGGGATGCGTACGGAAAGAGTCTTCGTACAGTGCATTCGATGACCTCTGTTCCCAAAGCGTTCCCAGATCCAAAAACCAAGGGACGCACGAAGGACACCGTATCGCTACGGCGCTAACCCTGTCTTTTGGCCACACAGTTATGGTTCAGCCAAGGTCGGATTGGAGGTCTCCTGATCCTGACAGACCTGTAGCTAGCTGTGATCAAGTCACCTGGTCACGACTCACAGTCAACAGTGTGTTGCTACCGGCATGTATGCGGTGTATGTAGTGATCGACCTACGTGGCTTGAGAAGTTGAGAGCTCCATCCAGCCCAGCCAGGCCTTCGTCTTCAGTTCGGACTGAAACCACCAAAACTGCTTCCCCGTACAGTATTGCGCTTTGTTGTTGTGGGAGGTGGCAAGAATCTTTTTCGTTTCCCACTTTCACTGTCCTCTTTCATCCTCCTCTACCATACTCGCAGTTCCCCAACCCAACCTTCATCATGGTTAGAACCGAGCTGCGTGGGTTGTTATGCCATGATGCTGCTGATGTTGATTGGGATGATTTTCGCCCATGTTTGTTTTCAAAAACAGTCTGCTGCACGAAAGGCCGCCGGGGCGAAGAAAACTGTGAAGAAGAGGGCCGCAAGAGCCACTTCCAATGTCTTCGCCATGTTTGATCAGGCCCAGATCCAGGAATTCAAGGAGGTTAGTATTGTGCCTTGAAAGCAGGCATTGTCTTCAGCATGAGTTTTGCAACACCTGAGGCTCTCGTCGGCTGGTTGACCTCGCGTTTCACTTGTTTTGGCTTCGCTTTGAACTGTTCCCGGTAGGCTTTCACCATGATCGATCAGAACAGAGATGGTTTCGTCGACAAGAGTGACATCCAGGAAATGCTCGTGTCTCTGGGTGAGTAGAAATATTTTTAGCATTCACCGCGTCCACTACGGTATTCTTGTATTTCGACAAATGTGTTCGAAACGATCTTCAGTGCAATTGAACTTACCACCGAGTCGCCTATGCTACGCATGCGTTCGGATAACGCGAAATTCCTTCAAACTGTAGGACATGCGTCTACTAATGCCGCAACTCACCTTGTTCTTGCTGTGACCTTGCAGGCCAAGACCCTTCTGATGAGTACTTGGAGAACATGATGTCCGAAGCACATGGACAGATGAACTTCACCATGTTCTTGACCATCTTCGGAGAAAAGCTCAACGGTAAGAAGCACAGTCCCCACATGCTCGTTCCCACAGGACCTCACTGCTCATGCACGAAAGGACCAGTTCTGACTTCTGAGTAAATTGGTCTTAATAGTGAGAGTATGTTGCCATCCCATGTGTTACTCTACCAACCACGAACCACAACCAGTCAATCAGTTGCAAGGTCAATTCCTATACAGCCATGTATGGTACCAGTTATTTTTGTCTTTAAAGGGGAAGTTAAGGCAAAAATTAAAATTTCACCAGTTGTCTTCGGGGTGCTGAGTCAAATGGTCTTGGTCCGAGAAAGCTGAGACGCTCCCTTCCTACTTGAATCCCAATCGAACTCGCGCACTTCCACCGAAACTGGGTGACTGCGCCCTACTAGATGGGGATTTGTATGCAAAATGTCACTAAAAGCACCATTTCGTTCTTATCAGCAAAAGAAAGGATGACCGCGATTGGCCCATATGTTGTAGTCTTTTGGACGCTGAGTCGACTGGTTTTGGTCCGAAAAGGCTGCGATGCAGCATTCCTCCTTTATTCCCAATCGAACATGGTTGAACAAGCGGTCACGTGCTCCTGCGTACACCAGTCACCTGGTCACCGTGCCTGCAGGGTACAACTTTAGCTTGTTTGACCTTTTTTGGGTGCAGTCCTGTCACTCGAGTTGAACTCGAGTTGAACCTTGGTGTGAAAGTTGTCGCCTGCTGGCGTGGTGACCAGGTGATTTGGGCACCCAGGAGCACGTGACCACTTGTTCAACCATGTTCGATTGGGAATAAAGGAGGAACGCTGCATCGCAGCCTTTTTGGACCAAAACCAGTCGACTCAGCGTCCAAAAGACTACAACATATGGGCCAATCGTGGTCATCCGTGCTTTTATAAGAACGAAATGGCGCTTTTAGTGACATTTTGCATACAAATCCCCATCTAGTAGGGGGCAGTCACCCAGTTTCAGTGGAAGTGCGCGAGTTCGATTGGGATTCAAGTAGGAAGGGAGCGTCTCAGCTTTCTCGGACCAAGACCATTCGACTCAGCACCCCGAAGACTACAACTGGTGAAATTTTAATTTTTGCCTTAACTTCCCCTTTAAGCTGCGTACACAGCTGCACATTCTGCTGAAATTGTCCCAGCATAGGGAAATGATCAGGCTGAGCTCAAGTGCAGACTTCCAGTCCTGACAACCTAACGTAAAAGTCTGCAATTAAGTACCTGCCCAAAACGAGACAGCTTGGAAGCTCAGGGCCCTACGCTATGCTTTATTGCCTTGATGACCTAGGCAAAAAAAGCATAGAGATGTATCACCTGGGATTCGAACCCGCACAATCGCCCTACATGAATTACCCGATACACTTCGCATTCATACTCATTCTTCCAAGTTGCTGTACGTTATGATCTTGCATTTGAAAGCCCTATTTGAATATTGTGGCCAGCTGTCTTTGATGGTACGGTACGGGACAGATACGGGATAGCGCCAGACGGAGGTTCGTCCGCCACAAACAAACAAATAAATAAACACCAAATTAAAGCTGTGTGGACCCTGGCTAGCGCCAGACGTTACTGAAGTAACGTCTTCTGCATAGCTACGGGAATATATACCCCCGTCATCCTATTGACTCTGTCTGTTCCAGCATAGGGAAATGATCAGGCTGAGCTCAAGTGCAGACTTCCAGTGCTGCCAACCTAACGTAAAAGTCTGTAAATAAGTACCTGCCCAAGTAAAATACCCCCTTCATCCTATTGACTGACTGTTGAAGTCAAGCTCAGCCCAATAAAACATACTGCCCGAAATAAGTACCAGTGTGGTGTGCACATGCTGCACTTAGCATGTACATCTACATGAAAGATGACTTCTCTAACCAATCCAGTCACCGGCAAGCATTTGAGTGTCGAAAAACACAATGCACACGGCAGTACATTGGCAATATGCAAAACACGGAAAATCAGAAGTCGCAGTATGCAAAACAAACCCAGTTGGTTGGCAGCTCTGGGCTTCAGTGTTGGTATTGGGGTGTAGCACCAGCTGATCCAGCTGGTTGGTTAGACTCTGGCCGGGGGGGGGGGGGGGGGGGGGGGGGTGTTACTGCACTCATCCTTCTTGCCACACATCGAAGACAAAAAAACCCCGCTGTGGATTAGTTGCAGTTCAAAGTGTCATGCTTATGTAGCAATCATCAGTAGTGGAAATTGAACTAATGCAACTGTCACCAGTTGCCTGATGATTGCTATGAGCATGAAAGTCTGCCTTGCAACTACAGTGCTGCTCAATGGAATCCAGTCGCATCACTCAAGTACGCGCCTGGCGTTGCGCAGCCCTAGACCTGCGAACACTGGGCTGTGAAATGATGCAAGGCGCAGACTTGAATGGCGGGACTGGATTTCATTGAAGTCCATTGAGCAGCACTGTACACATAATCCACAGTGGTCTTTCGTCTTCTAAACTGTGCTTAGAAGATTTGAATGCGGTATTATCGCAGCCATTAACAGGATACTGTAAGAGTTGAATCGCTAACGATGCACAAAGTGTAACATTTTAACAGGAAACATCCATCGTTAGAAACATTACTCGCACGCTATTCCTTCTCTCCTCTGTACTAGAGAACTAGAAGGCAGGCGTGTGAAAGCAGGGTCGTTAAATTGTGTGCATATCGTTAAACTTTGAACTGGACACACTTCAACTCTTGCAGTACATGCAAGCTCAAGGGCTGTCGATCAGGTCCTAAGTATGTGTACCTGTTGCAAGCAGGTTCGCAGGCACTGGGACACAAGCACTGACAATTCTAAAACTAATATTTGTTGAGTGTCGAACAGATTTGTGTATTTGAGATTGGCAGTTTATGACTATTCATCATTTTGTTAGCAATCATACGGCTCAATGGAGCATTCCTAGGTGTTCGTAGCAAATTTTGAGCATTGGTCTTTTGTAGAATTGGTGTCAACGTGTCATTCGTATTCAATGTCACTGTTCAGGTACCGACCCCGAAGACGTCATCAGGAATGCTTTTGCATGCTTTGACGAGGGCGGCACCGGATTCATCCACGAGGACAGGTGAGAATACACGCTTGGTTTGTAATGGCTCTCCTCATTGGTTTGCAGCTGCTGATGGAATAATCCAGGGTACCCGACGCAGTGCTCCGACTTGAAAGTGCTGATGATGTATACAGGGACAACACATTATTGTTAGTATGGGAGGGGGGGGCAGGTACTGGAGACTCTTTATAATCCACAGCTGTTGTAGGTAATCTTGGCTGTCACATGACCCACTGCTTCACGTAACTACACTGCACGACTGCTTGAAAGTTGACATACCCGTAGCACGTACTCAGTTATTTACAGCACCGTTGTCTCCCCCACCCCCACCCGAATGGAGGTACTATTCCGCTGATACAAGTAATTCCAGTGGCCAGCAATACTCACATCCAAACTGTTGCTCATGGGGTGTTCATACTTAGTGTTGGCACTGCTTTTAAAAGACATCAGTGAGGTTGAAATGCTCATGTGAAGAGATGAGGTGAAGGCACCAATCATTGGCAATCGTTGCCGCTTGTTGAGAAAGTGTTGCAGTTTAACCCTTTCCGTGGTAGTGTGCGCTGTATGGTAAACAACTAATGATGTATATGTGCGTCATGAGAGGTGCGCAATATATCGCAGGGCATAGGGTGTACAAACTTTCGGAAGTCCATCATACATAGGTCAATCACGCCAATTGATACACCGTTGGAAAGGTCTTGAGCTCCACTTTCCAGGGATATATAAAAGTTCTTTGCGATAGGACAAAGATTGACGGAGCGGAGGTGGGGTGAGCATGACCATTTGGGTTAGTAACTTCGTGGTTTTTGTTTGTGCATGCCAGGAATTTTCCCTTTGGCAAGGCGCATGCGTGATATACACCAAAGGAAGCATGTGGATCTCAGTGTTGCAGCGCAGTTTGAATCGTGAAATCGGCTGAACTGGAGCAAGAAGCCGAAAAAGAATGTGCGGCTGAGTTGCTATGCCTTTCTGAGGCATGGTGAGGTAGTTTTGAGAGGATGTGGAAGTGGCACTGCCGAGCTTATTGAGCTAAGAGCTACCAGGATGGATTCGCTTGGTCCTGATCTTTCCAACAAGCCCAGGATGATGAAATCCATCAAGGTGAACTGAAATGAGAGAAAATTTCGTTCGGAGCTGTGCGTGAAACGACGCCCAGAGCGTCAGTCCGCAGGAAAGTCAGTTTGCTGGAGAGGGGGGGGGGGGGGGGGCAGTACGGAAAGGGTTGACTGTGGTGAGTGTAAGAAATGAGAACGTGTGACAAGGGATGGTTTTATTTGCCATGATGAGAGAGATATGGATAGTTCATGTTGGCTGCATTCACAACTATCTTGGTCTTGGTCAGATGAGCGCTGTACAAGCAGAAAATTTCGTCGGTCAACAATTTCGTCCAACTCCAAGAAAGGGAGTTCGTCCGGTTGCAAATCTTGTCCATGGATCATAAGAGTGTATTGAAAAGCTGGACAAATCGGCATTAGGCCAAGTAAAAAATATCCTAGTTTATCGTCCCCGCCCGCCCCATTTTTCGAGGCCGCCCGGAATTTATTTTTATTTTTTAAATCTAGAATTTTGGTGGTCTGTGTGAACCAAACAGTATTGGGGTTTGTGTCTTATGAGTGGAGTGACAATCTGTCGATCCAAAGATTTTGCATGTAATTGTTTATGTACATATAACTGTTATAGCATTGTGTATTCCATACACTACCACTATTCTGTTGCAGATTGTTGCACATGATGTGTCATTGTTTACCAAGAACTATACTAGTCTGTAGCACATCAAAAAATAAAAAATAAAAATAAAATCCGCCCTCCCTCCCCGATTTTTGTGAAAAAAAGGACGATAAACTGGGATTTTATTTTACTTGGCCTTAGTCCGGCATTTAACTTAGTCCAAAAGCTCCTTGGACGAAATTAAATTCCAGACGAATATTTCTGCTTATACAGTACGATAGAACCTGAGAAATGCGGACATTCAGGGGCTGTCCTTATTTAGAAGGTATCCTCAATAACATGTACCAGGTGTTCTTTATTGTGTCTTGTAGACATATGCAGCACCTTCATGGACTGGTGAGAATGGTGCACGTATAGAAAGTTCATTGTGTTCATTGTGTTCTCTCTCTTTCTTGGGCACTATTTCAGATTGAAGGAGCTTCTCATGACTATGGGAGATCGTTTCACGGAAGATGAGGTGAGTGCTTAGGGCTTGTTTGTTTTCCTTGCTGTATTCTTGCAAGTACTTGTACATGTGTACGGATTGCTCTGCTGTCACTTGCCCCTATTCAATATCGTTTTCTTATGTTGCTATTACTCTACCTTGGTGCAATGGTGTTGGAATTCTCATGGCATGTTGACTATTGTGTGTGCCTCTCCCACAGGTCGACGACATGTTCCGCAGTGCCCCCATCGACAGCAGTGGTAACTTTGACTACGTTGCCTTCACCAGAGTGCTGAAGCATGGTCGCAAGGACGATGAATAGAGCACCAGTTGCAACTCTATTTTTTGCATTTACAGTTCATTTTCACAGATATTCAGATATTACAGATATTAGGGCTTTATATACCACATAAATCAAACCATGTGACAAGTACTCCCGCTTGTTCCGTTCACATACTAGTCATGTGAGTCAGTGTACAGCCTAAGTCGTAAAAAAATATAAAATATTGAAATAGAGCAGTTCTGCCTGTAAAGGCCTTGTTGTTGAATGTGTCGAATATCTCTGGCAGCCTTTGACTGAAACTCTCTCCCGCTCCAAACTGACACACAGTCAATTCTAAATTACTGCTGAGTACACTTAGACTCAGTAAGGGGTACGGTCCACAATAATCAATCTTTTTGAGAGAGAAAGATGTTGGTTCGTTCGGGAGGAAGGGTGTTAGGCTGCTGTTTGTCTCGACTTGGTGAAAAACCCTATCAATCTCAAGATATGGGCGGGTGTTCGAATTGTCACTCCTTGAATTTTTGAGGAGTTTTGTTTTCTGAAGAGGTGGCGTATTGGCCTCTTCAGATAGTTTCCTCGAAACTCTGCAACCTCATTCAACGGGAGAGGTGGATTAGAAGAGGTTGGAATATTCCCACAAACTGGCTTTTGTATGTATTTCCTGACGATTTACCTACGACAAATTTGCACATACAGTAAGGGCCGATTCCCACTACGGTACCATGAGTGCCGTGAGTACCCACGGTGATTTGCTCACGTGAGGGGCAGTTTTGGCGCGAGTTCATTCCGTGGTTCCTGCCGTACCGTGCCATGGACATTCCGGTGCCTCGGGCCTCTGGGGGGTGGAAATGGCATGCCGTGGTATTCCGCGAGGTCGAATGCAGTGAGTAGTAGGTATTTTACTACTCCCTGAAAGGAAGTTTTTTCTTGGTTTTTGGCTTTTCGATTGGTTGATTCTTGAGCTTTCTCCAGTCATCTCCCGGGCCCCCGCTATTTTCCCTCAGGACCAAAGTCAGAAATTGATAAAAAAAATGGTGATCCGGCCTGCCGACGGAATGACTGTGCGCAGGTGTAAATCACTCTCTGCTTCAAGCTCGTACCGTTGGGTACACGTGACCTACCCAAATCGTCGGCACGGCACTCACGGTACCGTAGTGGGAATCGGCCCTAAGGGCGCGTTCAGACTACCGTGAACCCCGTCAAACCGTGAATGCCGATAAACCGTGAAGGACATTCACACTACCGATAACAAACTAACGTGACCGTGAAGTTTTCAGCTCTCACCGCGGCACTGACAAGGGATTTTCCCTTTTTTTCGCAGCGCGCATGCAGCCTGAGCACTTTTTTACTGCCGGTAAAAGTTTACTGCCGCATCAGCCGCGGCAGTAAAACTTTCCCACCGGTAACGTGCCAGTAACGTCACGTGATCAAATCACCTTGGCGACTTTCCCTATCGGTCACTTTTTATCGGTAGTCTGAACGCGCCCTAAGGGAAGTCCATTATAATGTGGGAGGCACGCTTGGAAAATTTCATTGCTACGCCAATTCCAAAGGAAATGGTGAGGCTGGCAACAACCGTTCTATAGGGATACTTCTAAGATGTTTCTCGAAAAGGTGATGAGGATAATTCGAGGGGCGTTCGAATTGTCACTCTGACTTCTAGAGGAGTTTCGTTTTCTGAAGAGGTGGCTTTATTGGCCTCTTCAGAAAACACAAAAGTCTCCTCGATACTCCACAACTTCATCCAGTTGGAGAGTTGGATTACTTTATAAGAGCTTGGATTATTCCCGCGAAACTATCTGTTTTACGCATTTCCCGTCGTAGATTTGCCTATAATGTCTGTCCCCGTGAATTCCGCGGATTGCAGAATTTCCGCAGAATTCAGAAAATCCCGCGGAATATTGCAGAAAAGAGAGAAAACTGCTTTTTCTGGAGACTTTCGATGTATTTTCACAGCCAAACCAACCTGCTTGTGACTTTCAAAATCAACTTGCAGTGTATTTTTGAGCTTTTAATTTTTTCGACCAGGATTTCGCATAATTTTTGGCCAGAATTTATAGGGGCAACAAACTTCCGTGGGGTTGCAGAAATTCGATCTGTTTTTACGCTCATTATCCTTGCAGAATAAAGAAGGATTTGCAGAGGTAGCGCAGAATTTACTGTTTTCAGCTGCAGAATTCTGCACGGAATTTCTGATATTCTACCGCGGAATTCACGGGGGACAGGCTATTACAAAACTTGCACATGCGGTAAAGGAAGCCCATCATCACGTGGGAAGCACCTGACCCCCATGAATTCCCTGGCAGAATTCTGCGGCTGAAAAAAGTAAATTCTGCAAATCATTCTACCAGTATAATTCTGCGTCGATAAAAAAAGGAAAAATAAATAACTTATCGTGTCCATTCCCGAAGGGAACTCACGACGGCTGCTAACACCCGGTAAACCCTAGCGGCAGATGCAGCGCCTAACGGTGGGGGTGAGTGGATAAGTCTCACAACCACTGGCACAAGTGCCGAGAACGACCCCATTACTGGCATTAGATGCATCCATGTACCCCTTGTGCCTGGCCACAAGTTCCCAGTTGACTGTGGGTCGATTCTGCCAGGAAAATGAGAGGTGAAACAGATCGAATTTCCGCAACCCCACCGAATGTTATTGTCCCTTTAAATTTCTAACGATTTAAAAAAAGGACCAAGAAACTACAAGTTACGCTACAATGTCCACTAACACCACCAGTTACTAAACAATCAGACCCAAAAATAGTGCGAAATCCTGGTCCAAAGTTGAACGCTCCAAAATATACTGCAAGTAACCTTTTTTGTTGAATTTTGAAAGTCATGAGCAGTTTGGTTTGGCTGTGAAATACATCACAAGTCTCCAGAAAAAGCAGTTTTCGCCCTTTTCTGCAATATACTGCAGGATTTTCTGAAAACCGCAGAAATTCTGCAATTAGCGGAATCGTGGAATTCCACAAAAGTGACAAAACGAACAAAATTCATAATAATGCATGCATGGCACGGAGCGTGGATTGCGAAAGCACCGTAAAGTCTTGTATAAAACCGCACTTGAATAGAAGCCGCAATTTTGGGCCCATCAAATCACACATAAACCTGGTTTTAGTGTTGACATACATAGAAAATTTTAATACCTGTCTTGTATAGAAGCCTGTCTCATATAGAAGCCTGCAAAATTTCACCAAGAAAGTCATAGAAGCCGCGGCTTTTATACAAGACTTTACGGTATGTTCGTTCTGTGTGTACAGTCAACTTCGCTTATAACGACACTCGGCGGGGCATCAGAAAAGTGTCCTTATTCGCGAAGTGTCGTTATACCCGAAGTCCCAATATATGTATTACAGTTGGATGGGACTTTGCTCTGGGCATGGAAATTCCGTCGTTATTCGCGAATTGTCGTTATATCCGCAGTCGTTATTAGCGAAGTTGACTGTATGTGAGGGGGAGGGGGGGTCTCGCCTGAAACAAATTTTGTTCATTTCATGGCCTTCTATGAACTTTTGCGATGGTCCGGCTGAAACACTCAAATGCGTATAGTGGTTTTAGAAGTGAAATTTTAAATTGCGTATTTTGGCCAGGAAAGCTAGCATGGTAACATTGGTAAGAATAGACGGGTACCACCCAACTGAGGGAAGAAATCCTTGTCAACATGAAATCGTGCACCCACCACTGTCGCTGTATACATTCACAGCATGCGGCACCATGCTGAGCCTATCAGCATGCGGCACCATGCTGAGCCTATCAGCATGCGGCACCATGCTGAGCCTATCAGCATGCAGTTGCGGAAGAGCATGATCATAATTATGAAGATTGCACGGTGCTCTAATTACACTTTTCACTAGGGGTGAAACGAGTATATCGAATACCCGAGCACTCGCTCGAAAATTTGAAACGAGCGAGTGCTCGTTTCGCAAAATACTCGAAGTATCCTATGTACAGTGTATTGTATGCATGTACATCAAGCATTTCTGTTACTCTGACTGGTACTGATGGTCCATGCAAGCACGAAATTATTGCTTGTCCCTACTTACCAGCAAAAGACAGTAGTTCGACTATTTCCTGCACTAGGCTGCATGCAAGACTACATGTGTATCGGGTGTACTACGTTCAGTGGTGCGAGAGTGTATGCAGTGCGTTGTTTTATGTTGTCAGTAAAATACTCGTACTCGCTCGAATACTCGCTGGTTTTTTCAAAGAGTACTCGAATCCCCAATTTTGGCACTCGTTTCACCCCTACTTTTCACTCCACATGCCTTTTTTTCTTGGGAAAAGTCAAGCAACCTGTCCCACAAGCTGGTCAATTGGTTGCCAATGGCTATACTCGCAAAGTAATCGCAACTTGCAGGCGGCAGTTTCACAGAAAATCATCCTGCCAATGTCTACAACACCAACATATTTGTGTCACACATTTCGACATCTGCGAATTCCTGGGGGCAGTCAACTCTTCTTATTGTCCACAAACTCCAGTAAACTCTCCGTTGATTACTGGTTTTACTTGTCTTGTTACTTTGTATACAGTATTGCTGGTCATGAACTAGCACAGTGGCCCACTGAATGCAGAGCTGTTGCGGTTGCTGCTGCTGCTGTGAATCTGATAGTGCCCGTTCAGTCACGCAGGCCCGCCGGAACTGGTTCGGTTGGTCCGGTTGTAACCGGACCAACCTTTTGGCTGCCAACACCTGTTTACTGCTGAGGTCACAGTATCTGTGACCAGCACATCATACACGAAGTACACGAAGTATGAAAGGCTTCCGTAGTGCCAGACCAATAAAAAACTGCTTCCTGTGGTCATGCAGTGTACAGTGATAGGAAGAGAGCTTATGCTTGTACTTGGCTCAAGCCTCAAGGAGTCATCCTCGCACCCACAAGCCTCAAGGAGTCATCCTCGCACCCACAAGCCTCAAGGACATCCTCGCACCCACAAGCCTCAAGGAGTCATTCTCGCACCCACTGCAGTAAATATGCACTTCTAATTTAGACATGCCACCCAATGATCATGCTCTCTGAAATATCCGTAAGCCTGGTCGGCTGCATCACCACATCCGCATCAAGCAGACTGTAGCGCTCCTCTGCATGTGGAATAGAACCGAAAGGTGTAAATGAAAATAGAAGAAATCACATGGAAACGAGTTAATATGAAGCAACTATCCACGACTGTAACAAGATATTTAGCAGTCAGAAAGTGCGATAAACAGCTTCAGGTTGAATGTCTCAGCAGCCTGTTAGTTTTGTGGCCTGTTTATCACACTTTCTGACTGCTTATTATCTTGTTACAGTCGTGGATAGTTGCTTCATAACTCGTTTCCATGTGATTTCTTCTATTTTAATTATATTTACTGGCTCAATATCCGAGTTAAATGTACATGATTGTATGTATTATAGGGGAAGTGCATCGATTTTTCAAGTAGGGTCCAGAAGAAAGACAATTTGACATCGGTTCGAATGGCATATCTCTCGCTTCCATACGATAAGCCAAACTTGCCAAATCGCCAATTGTATGCTCACGTTGCCATAGCGACCAGCGGAGTGATGGCGTACGAAAGGCTTAGCTCCTCCACAGAGAAGGTCGATCACTGCATAAATTGGTCATTTTCAATTGTCTTATTGTATTCACGATGTGAAAGAAGTGCTGTGTTCAATGCTGTTAGTGCCGTGAACTATTTGTCGCCCTTCTCATGCATTTCCCTAGGCTGACTGTGCCTTGGAAATGGTTTCCTCCAGGACAAGATGATTGGAATTCGCCGTCTCTCCTGAGACATTTTCAGCAAACTTTCAAACCTACGACATTATTTCATTCGTCAATCTCCACCACCCGTCGTCTCACCTGGCTTCAGAAGATGTTACGAGAGATAGGAGAGTCGCCAGGAAGCATCACATTCATCTTCAGGAAGTGGAAAGAGCAAACGGCATGGTCCTTGGTTGGGGGAAATGCTGAACGTCTGATTTGTCCCAACCAAGATTTCAGCATTTTGTTCGTCACTATTTTCGCTTGTCTGCTGGTGTCTCCGCGCTCCAGCTTTCTCCTATCGGTGTCACGTCCCAGTACACAACCGAGAGGACTACTAACAAACAGTTCACTGCACTTACAGCATTGAACACAGCCCTTCTTTCACTTCGTGAATACAATAAACCAATTGAAAATGACCAAATTCTGCAGTGATCGACCTTCTCTGTGGTGGAGCTAAGCCTTTCGTACGTCATCACTGCGCTGGTCGCTATGGCAACGTGAGTATACAATTGGCGATTTGGCAAGCTTGGCTTATCGTATGGAAGAGAGAGATATGCCATTCGAACCGATATCAAATTGTCTTTCTTCTGGACCATACTCGAAAAATCGATGCACTTCCCCTTTAATATTGTATACATGACGATCGTATTCGGATGTACGTGTGTGTGTGGGGGGGGGGGGGTCCCACAGACCTACGGTCTTCTCACGGGAGTCCCTAGGAAGGATTTAATTAAAAGCATGTCATGTAGTGTAGACTCACCCCAGTTACGCGGCACCGGACAGCAGCCGTCCATGCGTGGGCCACCAGAATCAGACAAAAAATCCCGCATAAGATCACCAGCAAGAATTGGGAGCACATCCTAAGCACCATCGTTGCCTGCTTCTCTGCTATGAACTTGCGGCAGCGCTAATCACTCAGCAGCAGTGTATCCATGTCAACTAAACGTGTTATCTGTTATACATGTAACAGTAACTGTTGACGTCATGTAGATCTACATGACGTGTATGAGTCATGACTGTACTACAAGTACAACAGACATAGCCAGAGACCTGACTGGAGTTTGATCTCTCACGAGTCAGTCCAAGCATCTTCCTCTCTTTCTAGACAGTGAATGGCCAAGACTCATTATAATAATGTGTCATCACAGTCATAGTCATTACCATGATTACTGATGATGGACTAACATCCGCTCCAATGAAGTCACTTTTGTAGTGAGAAAGCATGCAGTGAAAAGGCCACTGGCTGTACTGCCTAGACTGTATACATGGTATAATGATGATTGTACTTGTAGAGATTGCAATTAATTTTTTATTTGTACTTTGTAGTGCTCCTCGAGCCTCGTACCCAGGTCCCTCATATAATAATGCATGGCTCTTTGCAGCTCGGTGCATAGTGATAGCTACCATGGCTACTGCTACTTGAAATGACGGTATCACGTGCCGCCACAGATGTAAAATCAGCAGCAACAGTTTGAAGAGAATCTAGAAGCAACACTACCAATTATTTTACTAGGTGTACGCTAAATACAGCAATACTAATGGTAATACTTGTCAAACAAGTCAAGGCATCGAACCAGCTCGCTCGATCGTGTTCGAAGTCGAGACATTATTTAGAGTAATAATTCCTCGCATTCTTGAATACAGTCATAGCCTCTCCGATTTTCCAGATTTACTATTCGGATGCAGTAGCAGATATCACGTAACGTTTTCGGTGCCAACATGTTTTTCTTGGCGCCCTGCATGAACCCGACCATTTTCCCGATACTGTTAGTGGTTTTCTACGCTATCTGGCAGTCTGGAGATCGTATGGATGGCTGCTGCCCATCATGGAACTGGGGTGAGTCCGTGTGTTTGTCCAGGGCGCTAGGTTCATGCCATGAGTCACGAAAAATTTAATACTAGTACGTTTTCCACATACACTTTTTAATGCTGCTCAGCAATCATAGAGGTTATGCGATTACATGCGACTATATCATCAGTAGAGGTGCTTAGCTTTGGCAACATCGAGGCACAGCGAATCGATGCACTAGCGACTCACGCTGTATACATAGCAGCCATAAGCGGTTCCGCTGACTAGCGCTGCATAAAAACGTCCATAAGCGGTTCCACTGATTCACCCGGTATATTTAGTGGCCAGCCATACGGCCAAAAGGCACTCCGCACCATGACAGCATCTGCATAACCCCTATAATGACTATATTCGGATCAGGGCGAGATGCACGACTTGCTGCGTTCATTATACATCATGCAGCTGCATCCGCGCACTGGGGAAAAAATCAAACATCATACTCTCCCTGTGGTTTGAAAGTTGAAACAAACTTTTGTGTAGAAGTGCTGAAGTTGATGCAGCCAAAACTTGAGGGGGGGGGGGGGGGGGCTGATATCACTTGAGAAGTTGCCAATTGTTCAGCACTAGCTTGTGCTTGCCCGCTGCTGTCTAAATACCTGCGGTGGCTGTTACCATGGTGGCGAGAAAGGGCAATGTGATCGAGAGCAGTGCACCGTCCTGTCAACCAGTCCACGGAGGAATGCCAGACTGAACGGAAGAAAGGCCGGTAGATGTCAGCAATGTGGCGTACTGCGTACACGCAGATATACAGACTACAATGTAGCACTTGTTCACGAGACTCTCCTGCCGGCCGGCCGGCTCTCCCCAGTACTCCTTGCATACGGAGTCCAGCTCCTGTCTATACTTGAATAGCAGGCGTGTGCCCCGTATGGGTTCCTGGGTGGCCGGAACCCCTCTTTTTTCGCTCAGAATGCAGGATTTTGCTTCATTTTTTTGAAAAATTTCCTGGGGGAGGTCCCCGGAACCCCCCCCCCCCCTTGAAGGGCACCGGCGCACGTGCCTGATTAGTGTACTTCAATATCAACCAGGGTGAACTGCATGACATCAAGAGTACACTCAGTGTAGTACAGTAGGTATCGGTTATAGCGTGGGTGTTTGAAAAACGACTTTCTATTCTTATTTCCGATATTTCTTACACACGGTAAATCAAGTGTGACATATCATGTGCATGTGCGCAGAGGCAGGAAGATCATCGTACACATGCAATGTAGTGGTATGGTGCATGCGGCTGGTCATAGTCACATAGGCTTACCATGTGGCTATGCAACATGAGTTACATGACCACAACAGTTGAACCTGCAGCACTACGACCCAACGCGAGTCAGATCGGAACTGAATTGGACGGATATTATTACTACAGGCAATATACTTTGTACTAATCTGGTATGTTTTGCTACACAAAGTCCATTCTTAGGACCGATATATTCTACTGTACGATAAAATTGCTTGTACAAGTAAGAATAAATGTGCACTTCAAATCCATGTTATGATTATGAAAACATGAGAGTTCATTCTTGTAGGCAGTATATTCTTTTACACGACCACGCTATAACCGATACGCACTCTACTAGTAGTAATTTATACTTCCTTGATTACAATGTAATGCAAGGCTCTACAGGCAAAGGATGAGAGTAGTACGGTGCAGTTGCACTATCCCGGTCCAAGCCAGAACCTGCCGTGTCTCTATGTATGTATGTATGTATGTATGTATGCCTGGCGTATGTCTGGTGTGCAGAGCGACGGCATGCATTGCTCAACGCAGACAGCACTGTGCGACCGGCCAGCCTGACAAACATCACCGAATGTGTACAGTTTGCCAGCGCACACAACAAACGCATCACCGTGCTGGGCTCGGGACACTCCTGGGCGGACATCACTGTACCGGCCGATAAGAAGAATGGCAGAGGATCCACTGATGGCTCAAGTACGGGGACATCAAACAGTGCAGTTAGTAACGGTAGTATTGTACTGTGTATGAGATGCTACTCGGGACTGGTCGGTGTGGATCGCGACAAGAAACAGGTCACTGTCCTCGGTGGCACAACGCTTGCACAGCTGATCACAATACTGGATGAGTACGACCTGGCATTGGATATATTCCCTTCTGTCAACGAACAAACCATTGCCGGTGCAATTTCATCAGGTAAGCTGCCATGTGTTTTGATTTCTGGACGGAGACCGAAAGAGACAGAGGGGTGTTGCTGTTAGTACATTTCACAATGGCTGTTATGCAGAACATGCTGATTTCTATCCACTTGCACCTCTTACTACCACTGACCTTCTTGTGTACTCCATGCCTCCTCGCTGACAGGTACACACGGTACCGGCGTTACACATGGTAACATGGCCACTCTTGTTCAATCGATCGAATTGGTGACTGCGGACGGGACAGTACGTACAGTCTAGATGTTGTATGAGCAGTGCAGTCAATTTCGGAGCAGATGGAAATAGAGGAGTTCTTTGTGCTTGATCACCGCTATCGACCATGTGGTCTGCTGATTGCAGCACTGCGTGCATTAAACTTGGAGTTACAACACCCTAGCCTTGGTGGGACACTGTTACCGCATTGACTACTGAACTGCAGTTGTGGGAATGCTCAAGTGGTGCAGAAAATAGGATAGGTTAAAATAATGCTGCAGATGTGTTGTTGTTGCCACAGGGATATCATTGACTGGAATCTTCCAGTCTGGAGTGTGATAGCTGCTCATAGTCTCTTGTTGGTGGCTAGTATTATTGACTTGTTGTTGTTCTCACTGCAACTTGACTCACTGTAACTTCCATGTGGTGGTTGTTATCATTGTCATCGTTGTCATTGTTCTGATAATGATTCTGCGCTAGGTACTGACTGCTTCAAGGTCGAGTAATGCTGATGTTCTGTACGGTGCCACCATAGGCATGGGCCTGTTTGGTATCATCACCAAGGTAAGAATTATCACTGTCAGTATGTAGAGCGGGCCCGGTTCCTGGTCTTGCAACGATATCTACTGACAGTGCATACATATATATGGATGGTGACTCCTGTATCCTGGCACATGCTGAAGTCCGCTCACCACCTCACCACTATCGAGACTATTGCAAATTGGGCAGCTTCTGTACAGTTGTGGGGATCCTCGTTTGTTGATAGCACTCATGCGTACCTGCTTGGCAAACAAAACTCACGGCCCACGTGAAACTCAGTTTTCTGCATCTGCAAGAACGCGGCAACCATTGTACACACTATTAGTTCATCCAGGAGAAAGATTTATTTGTCGCAAAGTATACTGTAAAAGCAGAAAATTTCGGTGGAGTAATATTTTCGGTATTCTCCAAAATCGGCGGTTCGGTGGAGGGACGTTTTCCGTAAAACCCGTTTTCCAGGTAAGTGTACTAGTACTACATGATTGTACAGTTAGTTGCACTGGTAGTACCGGAATTTTCGGTGCGTTTTATTTTCAGTAAAAATTGTCGGCACCGAAGTTACCAAAAATAGAACACCACCAAAAATTTCTGCTTTTACAGTACATGAATTTGTCCCTTACTTTCTGTCATTGATTCCCAGGTGACTCTCCAAGCTACAGAGAAGTTTAATGTTTATGAGAAGAAGATCTTGATCAGCAGTGATGAGCTGTACGCTAACTTGGAGGGCATCGTTGGCAGTGCCGAGTACGTCAAACTCTGGCACAACGAAGGAACTGGACAAGTGTGTGTGTTCACGTCGTCCCGTACAACAGAGCCTGTCAGAGACAACCGTAACCGAGTCGTTCAAGATATTGGGGTATGCGTGTTTAGTGCAATTGGGGTATGCGTGTATAGTGCAATTGGGCTCTTACTCTTAGAGCTGCTTTAGATTTACGTAAACATGATGAGGGAAGCCAATCATGCAGTTCAGCTGGGCAAATGTATTACCTGTTCTCTCTCTCTCTCTCTCTCTCTCTCTCTCTCTCTCTCTCTCTCTCTCTCTCTCTCTCTCTCTCTCTCTCTCTCTCTCTCTCTTAGTTATTCTACTTGCTTTCAAGTCTACTCTTCACAATGCCTCATGCCTCAATGGATTGGACCCATATAGTTCCCTATCATAATCAGAATCACAGGGCAGCAGCCAGGGCAGCAGCCCTTCTACTGTTTGTACAGCGCCGCACTCACAATTGCCTTTGTACCTGGGAGTGCAGCACTTGCTTGCCATGACCCTTGCATACTGACTTCATATCATCTGCTGCTTCTCAAATCTCTTACTGCATGCTTCCATGTTTGTGCAGCTGCGCATCTTTGAAGGCCTTATCTACCTGGTATCATTCTATCCACGATCAGCTAAGCCAGTCATGTACTTTCTCATTCACTACCTGGACGCCCTGAAAGTCGGCGAACGTGTGAGCACATGGCACGATGTGTTCAACATTCCCCACCATATACCCGTTCATCCTGAGACGGAGTATGCTGTTCCACTGGCCAACGCCACCGCTGCACTTCGCTTTGTCGCACAACTTGTGGAGGAGAAGGAGATTGGAACAAACTACATCAGTGAGGTAGGCCGTGCTCTTTTCTTTTAATCACAACTACTGGAATTTGAACTGTGTAAAAAGTGGCCAATTGCAGACGTAGCACTTGCCCATACATGTACATGTACCTTGGCTCTGTGTCTATATAATATTATGATGGCAGCAGCACAAACCTGGCACATAATCATATCTTCACCTATCTACACAAATGCCTGGCCCTCAGTAATGAGATACATGTACTGGTGATAAGAGCCGTGTGATGATTGTTCACAGCAGTTACTACAAGCACTGCGGATGTGCCATTGCAAAATACATGTACCCAGCAGTACCTGCTCTGCTTAATTAAACTAAGCCTTGGATTGAATGTTCCACTCATTGTCCTAGACTCGCTTTGTAGGCGCGGATGAGTTCTGGCTGAGTAACGACTACGGAACACCAACCTGCCACATCACACTGTTGCTGTACAACCAGGAGGATGTATTCCAGAGCTACATGCAGGCAGTCAGTGACGGTTTGGTCACAATGGGCGCGCGGCCTCACTGGGGCAAAATGAGCAAGATGACGGAGGCGACACTTAAGCACCTCTACCCAAAGTGGGACGACTTTGTGGCTCTGAAGCGTCGTCTTGACCCCTCTGGACGATTCTGCAACAGCCAGGCCCAGCAAGCATTTGATGAGTCTAACATATGCTAGGTCTGGATAGCGCTTCTAAAGAAATGTTTGACTATTTAATACGAACATTCTATGATCCTTTACTCACGTCGTTTTGAACAACACACACACACATTCAATCTGTTCAAAGCAGTGCAATCAATTTCTGCAGCAACCTATTACTCTGTTTTCAAAAGAATTCGATTTGACATTATCGCAGCTGACACATCGCCTGTAGTATGGTCGTGTTCCTTACATAAAATGGCACAATCACCAATCACATAGGCAATCACATAGGCAATCACATAGGCAATCACATAGGCAATCACATAGGCAATCACATAGGCAATCACATAGGCAATCACATAGGCAATCACATAGGAATCACATAGGAATCACATAGGCGTTGGTCTGGCCCAGCACTGCTGGCCCGGCTTCGGCCAGACCATCTATTTTTTGCATCAATCTATCCAACGGTTGCATCCAAGCACAGAACTATGCTGCAGGTATTGCATTTCCCAGTGACTGGTAATGTGTGACGTGACCATATACTGCCAAGACTGCAGTGCACTGCCGGGTCAGGATCAGCACGTCTATGTTACATTTTCATGATAGTCCCTATGGTAGCCTACATACTTCCTCATTCTGCTTTGCAGCTATTATGCTTACGAAGGATATAGCAGGTACTAATCCACAGAACAACAGGGCGCAAGGCTAGTTGGTTGCAACTCTGAGCCTTTCATGCCATGTGATCATCAGACATGCGATCATTAGACATGCTATCATCAGACATGCGATCATCAGGCATGCGATCATCAGGCATGCGATCATCAGGCATGCGATCATCAGGCATGCGATCATCAGGCATGCGATCATCAGGCATGCGATCATCAGGCATGCGATCATCAGGCATGCGATCATCAGGCATGCGATCATCAGGCAACGAAAATATGCTGTTTGCCATGCCAGTAGTTATGCACGGGAGACACATGAGTGGTTCAGTTGTGGTTGGGTGCTATACTTTGGGTGTTGGGTTGGTAGTACTGCGAAGCAGGGTGAAGCAACTGTGTGCGTGTATGCGTTAGTTTAAACAACTGTGTGCGTGCATGCGTTAGTTTCAGGGCCAGCAGTTATTATCACCTTGCCGCCATTTTTAAATCATCATTGTTGTCTGAAGATTGGTGAACAACCATGAGTAACCGAACAGAATTCAGCTTTGTTCCATTGCTAACTTGTGTAATAGTGTTATTATTAGGTTGATTGGTGTCCCGATCATCCAAGGCTACTTCAAGAATATTTACATTTACACACATGAGTCGTGTGTAACATTATAGCTTTTCTAATACGGCTATGAAGTAAAAAATCAAGTTTCCAAGATCCTTCACAAAATCCTCTCCTGGGAAATAAAGTAGCCAACGACGTCAAGGAATGTAAACAGCAGGTGCTTCAATCTGGGCTGTACACACCAAGACTGCTCTTACTGCTCCGACTGCTCACTCATAGCTAAACGCAGCTGGACCATCGAACCTCCACATGTAAACCCGGCTACCGGCCAGGGCAAAGATGGCCGTGGTGGTAGCGTGCACTGACACAACGCTGGCAAAGTGGTGTGTGAACAACTGCTTGATAGGTGGCTGGCCTGGCCTGTAAAAATAGAGAAAACAGAAGAAACAACCTCTGTTAGAGAAAGCAATTCAGAGTAAGGCTGCCACCGCCAAAGCTATTACATAATAATTATGTTCCTATTTTCCATGCATAATCCTCCCACCACAAGTCCATGCTCAGTCATAGAAATCGGGAGTATGGCAGCCACTTTGGCTGACCCTGCTCCAGCCCGGGACAACTCTCCACGGCAGTCAATCAACCCTGTGTTGGTAGTCAAGCAGGCATGCCGTAGTGTGAACTGTTCTCAATAGTGTGCATATCTGTGGTATTGTCTGGACCGTCTCTACTTGGCCAGACCAGTCAGTCTAGGTGCTGTTCCACGTGTTCGCAATGCGGCACATGTCTAAAGATCACTAGTAGTCTTGCATGAGTCATCACGCGCAGTCTAGCTTAGAATGCATGGTGGCATAGAAGACAACATTGCAGCCCAATGCAGTATTATTATCCATTACTTGTATCACTTCTACTTGCATCATTCCATCATCATATCCATTACTTGTATCACTTCTATTTGCATCATATCCATGATCACTTCAATCACTGTGCAATTCTAGCTGCCATGCCTGGCCCAAACAGCAGGAGTAGCACATCCAGTGTACCGAATGCTATGCACTGGCCGGGTCATGGGTTCCTTGTCCCGTGCGGTACGGTCCATTTCACTAACCTTGAAGCATCATGGATGAAAACCATGGAGTCTTTTCCCGACGTCACCAGCAAGCTGTGACCGCGTGGGTGGGGCCCGCGAATGTACGACACATCTTCGATCCTACAATGAATAGATAATGCCACCAACTGATTACAATGCATTTTTGCATGATTATATGCCACACGTATATCCAGTGTTGTGCGGATGAAAAGCAGCTAGAGTTGTGGACATGTGATTGGAACATGATGAAAGAGATCAGGGCTGTGAGAGAGAACTAATCAAAGATTTCTCTACCCTATACCAGTAATCTAATTCTCATCTGACCAACGGTTCGACATTAATTTTCTCTCCTGAGCCCGAGGAACCATTTTCTTGGTGCTAAAGCTTGGTGTATTGACACATGCTCTTAATAATACCGTGGCAATCATATCTCTCAATCTAGCAATGCTAGACTCTAAGAAGAAGTAGCAACAGGTCTGCATGATCCACCATGCATTCAGGTGTCAAGTGCCAGGGTTTCCAAGACATAACAAGTAATCGTTCAAGTCCAGCTAGTCTCCAGGCCTGCTGGAGGAACCGGTCCAGCTAGTCTCCAGGCCTGCTGGAGGAACCGGTCCAGCTAGTCTCCAGGCCTGCTGGAGGAACCGGTCCAGCTAGTCTCCAGGCCTGCTGGAGGAACCGGTCCAGCTAGTCTCCAGGCCTGCCGGAGGAACCGGTCCAGCTAGTCTCCAGGCCTGCTGGAGGAACCGGTCCAGCTAGTCTCCAGGCCTGCTGGAGGAACCGGTCCAGCTAGTCTCCAGGCCTGCTGGAGGAACCGGTCCAGCTAGTCTCCAGGCCTGCCAGAGGAACCGGTCCAGCTAGTCTCAAGGCCTGCCGGAGGAACCGGTCCAGCTAGTCTCCAGGCCTGCCGGAGGAACCGGTCCAGCTAGTCTCCAGGCCTGCCGGAGGAACCGGTCCAGCTAGTCTCCAGGCCTGCCGGAGGAACCGGTGCGGTTGGTCAGGTTAACAGTACTAGTTAACAGTACTTAACACCGAACACCGAACACCGGACCAACCGTGTGGCCACCAATACATGTCTACTACATATGTCCCCGCTAGCTGCTGCCACACTATACACAAACTGTATGTCCCCGCTAGCTGCTGCCACATTATACACAAACTGTATGTCCCCGCTAGGCTGCTGCCACACTATACACAAACTGTATGTCCCCGCTAGCTGCTGCCACACTATACACAAACTGTATGTCCCCGCTAGCTGCTGCCACATTATACACAAACTGTATGTCCCCGCTAGGCTGCTGCCACACTATACACAAACTGTATGTCCCCGCTAGGCTGCTGCCACACTATACACAAACTGTATGTCCCCGCTAGCTGCTGCCACACTATACACAAACTGTATGTCCCCGCTAGCTGCTGCCACACTATACACAAACTGTATGTCCCCGCTAGGCTGCTGCCACATTATACACAAACTGTATGTCCCCGCTAGGCTGCTGCCACATTATACACAAACTGTATGTCCCCGCTAGGCTGCTGCCACACTATACACAAACGGTATGTCCCCGCTAGCTGCTGCCACATTATACACAAACTGTATGTCCCCGCTAGCTTCTGCCACACTATACACAAACTGTATGTCCCCGCTAGCTGCTGCCACACTATACACAAACTGTATGTCCTCGCTAGCTGCTGCCACACTATACACAAACTGTATGTCCCCGCTAGCTGCTGCCACATTATACACAAACTGTATGTCCCCACTAGGCTGCTGCCACATTATACACAAACTGTATGTCCCCGCTAGGCTGCTGCCACACTATACACAAACGGTATGTCCCCACTAGCTGCTGCCACATTATACACAAACTGTATGTCCCCGCTAGCTGCTGCCACACTATACACAAACTGTATGTCCCCGCTAGCTGCTGCCACACTATACACAAACTGTATGTCCCCGCTAGCTGCTGCCACACTATACACAAACGGTATGTCCCCGCTAGCTGCTGCCACATTATACACAAACTGTATGTCCCCGCTAGCTGCTGCCACACTATACACAAACTGTATGTCCCCGCTAGGCTGCTGCCACACTATACACAAACTGTATGTCCCCGCTAGGCTGCTGCCACACTATACACAAACTGTATGTCCCCGCTAGCTGCTGCCACACTATACACAAACTGTATGTCCCCGCTAGCTGCTGCCACACTATACACAAACTGTATGTCCCCGCTAGCTGCTGCCACACTATACACAAACTGTATGTCCCCGCTAGCTGCTGCCACACTATACACAAACTGTATGTCCCCACTAGCTGCTGCCACACTATACACAAACTGTATGTCCCCGCTAGGCTGCTGCCACACTATACACAAACTGTATGTCCCCGCTAGGCTGCTGCCACACTATACACAAACTGTATGTCCCCGCTAGCTGCTGCCACACTATACACAAACTGTTTGTCCCCGCTAGCTGCTGCCACACTATACACAAACTGTATGTCCCCGCTAGCTGCTGCCACATTATACACAAACTGTATGTCCCCGCTAGCTGCTGCCACACTATACACAAACTGTATGTCCCCGCTAGCTGCTGCCACACTATACACAAACTGTATGTCCCCGCTAGCTGCTGCCACATTATACACAAACTGTATGTCCCCGCTAGCTGCTGCCACACTATACACAAACTGTATGTCCCCGCTAGCTGCTGCCACACTATACACAAACTGTATGTCCCCGCTAGCTGCTGCCACACTATACACAAACTGTATGTCCCCGCTAGCTGCTGCCACACTATACACAAACTGTATGTCCCCGCTAGCTGCTGCCACATTATACACAAACTGTATGTCCCCGCTAGCTGCTGCCACATTATACACAAACTGTATGTCCCCGCTAGCTGCTGCCACACTATACACAAACTGTATGTCCCCGCTAGCTGCTGCCACACTATACACAAACTGTATGTCCCCGCTAGCTGCTGCCACATTATACACAAACTGTATGTCCCCGCTAGCTGCTGCCACATTATACACAAACTGTATGTCCCCGCTAGCTGCTGCCACATCATACACAAACTGTATGTCCCCGCTAGCTGCTGCCACACTATACACAAACTGTATGTCCCCGCTAGGCTGCTGCCACACTATACACAAACTGTATGTCCCCGCTAGCTGCTGCCACATTATACACAAACTGTATGTCCCCGCTAGGCTGCTGCCACATTATACACAAACTGTATGTCCCCGCTAGCTGCTGCCACACTATACACAAACTGTATGTCCCCGCTAGGCTGCTGCCACACTATACACAAACTGTATGTCCCCGCTAGGCTGCTGCCACACTATACACAAACTGTATGTCCCCGCTAGCTGCTGCCACACTATACACAAACTGTATGTCCCCGCTAGCTGCTGCCACATTATACACAAACTGTATGTCCCCACTAGCTGCTGCCACACTATACACAAACTGTATGTCCCCGCTAGCTGCTGCCACATTATACACAAACTGTATGTCCCCGCTAGCTGCTGCCACACTATACACAAACTGTATGTCCCCGCTAGCTGCTGCCACACTATACACAAACTGTATGTCCCCGCTAGGCTGCTGCCACATTATACACAAACTGTATGTCCCCGCTAGGTGCTGCCACATTATACACAAACTGTATGTCCCCGCTGGCTGCTGCCACACTATACACAAACTGTATGTCCCCGCTAGCTGCTGCCACATTATACACAAACTGTATGTCCCCGCTAGCTGCTGCCACACTATACACAAACTGTATGTCCCCGCTAGCTGCTGCCACACTATACACAAACTGTATGTCCCCGCTAGGCTGCTGCCACATTATACACAAACTGTATGTCCCCGCTAGGCTGCTGCCACAATATACACAAACTGTATGTCCCCGCTAGCTGCTGCCACACTATACACAAACTGTATGTCCCCGCTAGGCTGCTGCCACATTATACACAAACTGTATGTCCCCGCTAGGCTGCTGCCACACTATATACAAACTGTATGTCCCCGCTAGCTGCTGCCACATTATACACAAACTGTATGTCCCCGCTAGCTGCTGCCACACTATACACAAACTGTATGTCCCCGCTAGCTGCTGCCACACTATACACAAACTGTATGTCCCCGCTAGCTGCTGCCACATTATACACAAACTGTATGTCCCCGCTAGGCTGCTGCCACATTATACACAAACTGTATGTCCCCGCTAGGCTGCTGCCACATTATACACAAACTGTATGTCCCCGCTAGGCTGCTGCCACACTATACACAAACTGTATGTCCCCGCTAGCTGCTGCCACATTATACACAAACTGTATGTCCCCGCTAGCTGCTGCCACACTATACACAAACTGTATGTCCCCGCTAGCTGCTGCCACACTATACACAAACTGTATGTCCCCGCTAGCTGCTGCCACATTATACACAAACTGTATGTCCCGGGCTAGGCTGCTGCCACATTATACACAAACTGTATGTCCCCGCTAGGCTGCTGCCACATTATACACAAACTGTATGTCCCCGCTAGCTGCTGCCACATTATACACAAACTGTATGTCCCCGCTAGGCTGCTGCCACACTATACACAAACTGTATGTCCCCGCTAGGCTGCTGCCACACTATACACAAACTGTATGTCCCGGCTAGCTGCTGCCACACTATACACAAACTGTATGTCCCCGCTAGGCTGCTGCCACACTATACACAAACTGTATGTCCCTGCTAGCTGCTGCCACATTATACACAAACTGTATGTCCCCGCTAGCTGCTGCCACATTATACACAAACTGTATGTCCCCGCTAGCTGCTGCCACACTATACACAAACTGTATGTCCCCGCTAGGCTGCTGCCACACTATACACAAACTGTATGTCTCCGCTAGGCTGCTGCCACATTATACACAAACTGTATGTCCCCGCTAGCTGCTGCCACATTATACACAAACTGTATGTCCCCGCTAGCTGCTGCCACACTATACACAAACTGTATGTCCCGGCTAGCTGCTGCCACACTATACACAAACTTTATGTCCCCGCTAGCTGCTGCCACATTATACACAAACTGTATGTCCCCGCTAGCTGCTGCCACAT